GGGGGGGGGGTCAAATTTGACTAAAGTATTGTACAATTGTATAATTCGAAGGGTTTAATAATATGATATGAAATCTGTAGGTAGGCCTACACCTTTTTAATGTTGGCCTACCGAGTCCAAATACTTGACAGTTTTAAAAAATAGGTTGAAAAAAAAAAATGGAAGTTTAAAATATTTGAATGTGCTGAGCCTTAGAGACTTGTACGTGAACCCCAACTCATGCGATTGGTTAGCGTTAGGTCCGCCCCCCCCCCCACCCCGTCACACACACACACACCCTTCTTGCTCCACATTCTATAAATCCCCCTGTGGCTTCTCCTCCCCCTCCAGCTGCTGCCCCTCCTCCTCCAGCTCCTCGTTCATGCCCCTCCTCCCGTGCAGCGCCTTGTAGGGCTGCCTGTTGGCCTTGGGCTCCGTCCTCCCCCACATCTCCATCTCGTGCTCCAGCGGCGTTTCCCCGTCGTGCAGCTGCGAGGGGTCCTTGAGCCCGTGGATCTCATCGTCCCAATCCTCCCACTCGGCGTGCTCCAGGTCCGGCTGGGAGATGTCTCTTATCTTGGCGTAGATCTTCTCGATGTACTGTTGTCTTAGACTTTTGACCTGCTGAGGAATTTAATCTAATATTTTCATTTGACATTTTTTTTTTTTTAAATGAAAGGGAGAAAAATATAATTGGAAAAAAATATATTTTTAAGTTCAGTTCTTAAAAATATCATTCAATTTTAAACGACTTAACATTGAGGAGAATAAAGTCATTACATTTAATGATTTAATAATTTAAGGTCTACACATTATTTTTCTATTCACTTTGCCATCTCTATTAACAGATGCAATTGGTTAATTCGGGTATTGCGATATTGCCCCCAAATAATTTCGCCCCATAAGCGTCACAAAATCCACAAGTAGCGGTAGGCCTATCTGTTTGACATCATTTCGCTTCTCAAATTTCTGCCAGTAAAATCTCATTTTTTGCTAGGCTTTACTGAGTTTATTCATCGACTCATTTGTGAATAGTTGAACAAAAGCAGATTTATGTAACTGGACAAATGCAGATCTATGTAACTGGACGAATGCAGATCTATTTAAATGGACGAATGCAGATCTAGGTAACTGGAAAAATGCAGATCTAGGTAACTGGACAAATGAAGATCTAGGTAACTGGACAAATGCAGATCTAGGTAACTGGAAAAATGCAGATCTAGGTAACTGGACAAATGAAGATCTATGTAACTGGACGAATGCAGATCTATAATATGTAATTGGACAAATGCAGATCTATGTAACTCGACAAATGCATATATATGTAACTGGACAAATGCAGATCTATGTAACTGGACAAATGCAGATCTATGTAACTGGACAAATCTGATGGTCAAATAGTTCGAATCTATGATAACACTGTTGGTTTGTTTTGGAACTTCTTATTAAATAATAAGACACTGGTCGGTACTCAGGGCTTCGTAAGATGCCTTGACCAGGCGTAATGGAGAACTGGAATTAAACTAAGAGAAATGGGCTACGTAAGACATCTTGACAAGGCTTAGAATAGAACTGGAATAAAACTAAGAGAAATGGGATACGTAAGTAAGACGTCTTTACCATGCTTAGTGAAGAACTGGAATGAAAATAAGAGAAATGGGCTACCTAAGACGCATTGACCAGGCTTAATGGAGAAGTGGAATGAAATTAAGAGCAATGCTTCTAGTACCTCGTTCCAGTATGCTGGGTCCTTGGGGTCATTCCCCAACTCCTGTTGTTGCCAGTTGTCAAACTCCCTCTGCTCCTGTTCCAACACCTTGTTCAAGTCAATGCCTGGAGGAAGGTAAGATACACAGGTAAGGTAAGGTTAATTCAAAGTAAGATACACAGGTAAGGAAAGGTTGATTCATGGTAGGAAGGTAAGTTACACAGGTAAGGAGGTGTTGTTTCATAGAAGGAATGTAAGACACTCTGGTAAGGAAAGGTTGATTTGTTATAGGAAAGTAAAGCGCACAGGTAAGGAAAGGTTGATTTGTCATAGGAAGGTAAAGCGCACAGGTAAGGAAAGGTTGATTTGTCATAAGAAGGTAAAGCGCACAGGTAAGGAAAGGTTGATTTGTCATAGGAAGGTAAAGCGCACAGGTAAGGAAAGGTTGATTTGTCATAGGAAGGTAAAGCGCACAGGTAAGGAAAGGTTGATTTGTTATAGGAAGGTAAAGCGCACAGGTAAGGAAAGGTTGATTTGTCATAGGAAGGTAAAGCGCACAGGTAAGGAAAGGTTGATTTGTCATAGGAAGGTAAAGCGCACAGGTAAGGAAAGATTGATTTGTCATAGGAAGGTAAAGCGCACAGGTAAGGAAAGGTTGATTTGTCATAGGAAGGTAAAGCGCACAGGTAAGGAAAGATTGATTTGTCATAGGAAGGTAAAGCGCACAGGTAAGGAAAGATTGATTTGTCATAAGAAGGTAAAGCGCACAGGTAAAGAAAGGTTGATTTGTCATAAGAAGGTAAAGCGCACAGGTAAGGAAAGGTTGATTTATTAGAAAGTCAGACAAGACCTAAAATTACCTTTCAGCTGTTCCTCCGTAAGGCCTAAATCAATAATGTCCTTGTAAGTAATAATATTCTTGGGCCTGTAGTTGGGGTCGTGGTCATGCACGTGGTCCTCTCCATGGACCGCCTTCTCAAAGGTTGGACCGATGTCTTTCTCTTCCTGCAAAGAAAGCTGTGATGGTAATATATTCAATGAATGGTCATTTCTTTATTTATTGGGGGGGGGGAAGGGGGGGCTATACACTGAAGGGGGCTTCACGTGTGAGTAACTTAAAATTTTTGACACGTTTCATGGCGAAAAATGTGCACACCTTAACTTTTGGCTCTTGTCCCAGACCTTTTGTCAGCATCTCGTCTTCAGGGGCGTCACCTCCAGGCTGTGGCTGCTTTTCTAGAGAAACGAGGATAAGAATAAGATAACATAAATCAGTCCTGATGCTGGAGAACACAGCTGTAATGAAACGGCATGCCAAGTGGTGATGTGGTTAACAAAATTGGTGAGGGGCAGGGTTATGGTGGTGATGTGGCTAACACAATGGTGAGGGGCAGCGTTATGATGGTGATGTGGCTAACAAAATTGGTGAGGGGCGGGGTTATGATGGGGATGTGGCTAACAAAATTGGTGAGGGGCGGGGTTATGATGGGGATGTGGCTAACAAAATTGGTGAGGGGCTGCGTTGTGATGGTGATGTGGCTAACAAAATTGGTGAGGGGCAGCGTTGTGATGGTGATGTGGCTAACAAAATTGGTGAGGGGCAGCGTTGTGATGGTGATGTGGCTAACAAAATTGGTGAGGGGCAGCGTTGTGATTGTGATGTGGCTAACAAAATTGGTGTGGGGCAGCGGGATGTTGCCAAAGTGAAGATAACTCTGGATCCAGGGTAATTGCAGAGTAACCTGTTTTAAATAACAAATTTGATAGGAAGTCAGTTTCAAATCGAATTTCGTTCATGACAACCCCGCGCTGAGAACCTGTGGGTTAAACCCTAGCGTGAAACTGAAAAAGGGGGTCAATTTCCGCTATTTCCCTAAGTGGATCGAGTACCGTTAGTCATCTCAACCAAGTGCGGTCGCCATCTTTGAGGAAAGTAAATTATCGTTTAATAAAAACACAAAACACGATGGCGTTCTTGTTATGCTAGTGTGCACACACAAAAAAAAACCCATGATGTCCTTGTTATGCTAGTGTGCTAAACATTAATAGGTACAATTAACGTGACCATTTCAATAAGCCTCACCTGGTTGAGCATGTGCCCCGTGGTCATGAGCCTCTCCGGTCCCGCCATGCATCATTTCCTCGGGGTCCACGGTTAAGTGTTGCTGAGAAGGAAAGTGTTCATGGAGATTTGTAATCGCTTTTTGAGAGTCACGCTAAATCATGATGACGACAGTCCTTATGATTACAATGTGGTATTATCGGCAGGTGAAAACAGCACTGTGGCGTCTACGTGACCCACATCGGGGTCGTACAAATACGAGTTATTGCAGCGTTCATTTTATAACACCGCAACGGCGCCTGACCTGTTTGTGCAGCAGATCAGTTGATGCACCAGACCAGTTTGTGCAGCAGACCTGTTGGTGCACCAGATCGTTTTGTGCACCAGACCAGTCGGTGCAGCAGACCAGTTGGTGCAACAGACCAGTTGGTGCAGCAGACCAGTTGGTGCACCAGATCGTTTTGTGCACCAGACCAGTCGGTGAAGCAGACCAGTTGGTGCACCAGACCAGTTGGTGCACCAGATCGTTTTGTGCACCAGTCCAGTTTGTGCAGCAGACCATTTGGTGCACCAGATCGTTTTGTGCACCAGACCAGTTTGTGCAACAGACCAGTTGGTGCACCAGATCGGTTTTAACATCATCACCGTCCCATAGTCAATTAAATGCCCTCCTATAATCTACAACTTGTAGCCCTGTGAGGGGAGGGGGGGGCGACGCGAGAGTTAGGAAACACTGGAATACATTGACGTGACCTAATTTAATTGTATTTTTACGTCATGATGGTTTATGATTAATATATAAATTCTTTTCTTTTCCTTTTTGGAGGGGGTTTGATCTGAAAACTTTTGTACATGCCCATAAATTGAGGCGGGGGGGGGGTGCCCAAAACGGACGGATCCATTAAAGGGGGCGGGGTCTAATAGTTTATGAGTTTTAGTATACGGATGATTCCTTATATATTACATTCAAATTGAGGCGGGGGGGGGGGTGCCCAAAACGGACGGATCCATTAAAGGGGGCGGGGTCTAATAGTTTATGAGTTTTAGTATACGGATGATTCCTTATATATTACATTCAGAAATGGCGTCAGCGGGCCGTCGAGCTTGCACTCCCCAAAACACCCCTCCCCAACCCGGTATCTGGGCCACGGAGCGGCACGTCGGGGATGTCCCTTTGTCAGGACGGCCCCCACCCCCGAAACTGCTCGACCAAGGTCTCCGCCGGGGGCCGTCCTAACCCAAAGACACCCGGTCGGTCCGACACTGTGTTTGCACACAGTGCACTCGATCGACTTTCTCAGGAGTCGGGATGGAAAAATGTACGTCCTAATATCTTCCCCCACCCATCCCGGGGAAGCGTTAGACGCCCTATAAGAGGGATTCTACAGTGGGTTTCCACAACGCAACTATTTCGCGATGCAGCTTGGACGAAACGGTTGCCTTGGAGCAGCTTCTCAGGGCTGCGTAGTAAGAATCATCGGCCAGAGGTTACCACCTTCGCCTCTCGCCACATATCCATTAACGGCAACTTGTAATCATGATCCCTACCCTGTCTCCGCCTATTATTCCAGTTGGGAAATATCACAACTGGCAGCCCTGTAGGAGCTGTTTTATGTACGGCAGGTACCGAGCACATCCCTTGTCTGCCCACGCAGGACGCGCCCAGTGGTTTTGTTCCCCGGGTAACGTCTAGGGTGTCGGTGGCCGACGCCTCCTATTTGACAAGCCACCACAGACTTGCCAATCGGTTCCCTTATATATATCGTTCGATTAACGCCAGACAGATTTTTTTTTAAAACGCGTTGTTTGCTATGTTGATAAATAGCACCTATATATTTAGCTGGATCTCTCCCTTATAAAATTGTTACTAAATTCTGGGTAGTTTGGGATTTTTTTTTTCTCTCCAAAGTTCGCAAATTTATCAGCCATAGAAGAATACACGTAGTGGGTCTAAAGCAGTGTATAATAAAACAAATATAGCTTGAGGACGTCCGAAAGACTCTTCCCCCTCACCCTAGTGTCTACTTTTGAACGACCCACCCCCACCACCCCACCCAGCTCCCACCTGTGCGGAGATCCTATATGAACGACCCCTTAACCCATTGCATAATCTATAAATTACCCACTCTTTGATTTTTACCATCCCCATGGTCTTCGTGAACACCACCTTGACCGTGCGCAATGGCCTCCACATCACCGCCTTGAACCTTATCCTTTCCAGGGTCATGGTCATCCCCGTGGACATGGTGACCCCCGTGCACGATCTCCTCGATGTCGTTGGGGCCGTACTGCTGGTTCTTCAGGAACTCTGCCGCGTTCCGCGCGGCTCCGTCGTGGACGTTGGCCTGAACTTGGGGTTGAAGAACATCGAGCTCCGCCCCCTCTGCTTGGTGCTTGGCCTCGCCGTGGCGCTTGGCTTCCTCAAGTGCTGCTACGGGGTCCACAACTTTCCCTCCATGGACATCTGAGCCCCCGTGGTCGTGGCCATGGACGCCATCACCGTGCATGATTTCTTCGGGGTCTATGACGCCCATGCTTGGCTGACTCTCAGAGTTGACTGCTCAATGGACAATTTATAGAATTATGAACATGACAGATGCGTAGCGACGGGTGGCAAAAGGATAACAGGTGTCCCTGGGCGCATGACTTGTGTGGGGGGGGGCGCAAAACTCGGGCTTTGGTGGCATTTTGTTGATGAAAATATTGGGCCTCAGAGTTGGGGTGGGGGTGGTTAAATGAATTTTGTCCCCAGGCGTCAAACATTCTAGCTACGCCTCTGGAACGGGACAATACTCACTTACGTAAATGTTAATATGTATAAATATATTTACATAAATTTTATTTTACCCGTCAAAAATGTTGCCATTTTTTCATAAGTTTAATACTTTCTATTTGGACGTATTATTAATTGGAAGTTTAAAGGGGTAAACAAGTATGCTGAAAGTGCAATGTTTTTCCTAAGGTTGCCTCCCTTTGCTTTGACGCACGATAGAAACAAGATCTAATTCTATTTGTAAGAATATGACAGTAGGGCACATTCAACACAAATAAGGGCAGAGGAAGATTAGCATGGCTGGGGCACCGTAGGTGGGGGAGATTTACAAAGATTAAAATTAATTGGAGGTTGACAAATGACTTGTTACATAATTTTTTAAATTTTTTGGGGTTTTTTTTTGTTTTGGTTTTTTTTCTTGTTTTAGTGGAAGAGATAGGCCTACAGGCAGTAAGAGGAAGAAGAAGCTAGAAGGGAGAAATACGCTACATGTGTTTCGTATTGTATGATGGTTAGTACATTTTAAATACGTCATGAATGAACTAGTCATGAATACTGTGAGGTACTTGTGTGTGTGTGTGTGTGTGTGTGTGTGTGTGTGTGTGTGTGTGTGTGTGTGTGTGTGTGTGTGTGTGTGTGTGTGTGAGAGAGAGAGAGAGCAGTTACCTTGTTGCTGTTCCGTTTCTGCTTCCATTTCCTGTTCTTGTTTCGGTGCTGGTGGTTGAGCTTCCTGCTGTGGTGGTGGTTGAGCTTGCTCTTGTTGCTGCTGTGGTGGTTGAGCTTGCTGCTGTTGTGCTGGTGGTGGAGCATGCTCCTGTTGCTGCTGTTGTAGTGGCCGGTGGTCGTTCCATCCCTGCGCGCCCCAGTCTAGTTCCTCCTGTTTCCGCCTGCTATCAGCCGTGACAGTTTCCGGTGTCTTAGCTCCTGCCTCGCCCGGGGGACTGTTTTCCTGTTGTTGCCCCTGGTCGCCAGCTACGTTGGTCGGTGGTTGTGATGTGGCGTCGCCTCCAACATTGGGCGTGTCTTGTTTGATGTCACCGCCGTCTGTGGGCGTGTCTTGTTTGATTTCCATATGGGCAACATTGCTATCGACATTTTCTGAGAAAAGTTCAGTTTAAAAAATAAATTTTAAAAATTGTAAATTTAGACTCTTTCATAAAATAGGATATTGCGCAAAATTGTTTGAAGAATTTTTAAACGTTTTATATTAACTTCGCTTTTGTTCGTGTTTTTTTTTTTTTTTAATGTGGCAAATTATTCGGAAGGCTAATTGACACACTTCCCGTCACGCTATTGAGTTGAAACTTGGCACCTAGACTCGTTGCGGATGAAAATAAATTTTAACAAATTTTCAGCCTTAACCCCCTCCCCCAAGACGCCAGAATTCAATTTCAACGCTACCTGATGCCATTGGTTTCAGGAAATAAATGAAATTCTTTAAAATATCGCAAGTGCGTTTGGTTAGTAATATTTTTTTTTTTATTACGGAGACAGTTGGTGAAATAAATCTGCGGTGCAGAAGCGGATGGGGCATTACAATATAAATATAGTTCAGGGCGTAAAAAAAAAAAATGCGTTTGCGAGCCTTGATGGGGCGGGCGGGGGGGGGGGGGGGGGGGCACTAATTGGGATGCTTATAAAGTGCATTACTTGAATGCATGTTTTGTCAAATTTTCAGCACCAACCCCCACCTCCACCCCCAAATAATTATTGCAACTGAACTTTTGTTCACTTGTTTTGTTCTGGCAAAATCTTCAGAAGGCTAAGTGGCCCACTTTCCGTCATCCTATCGAGCTAAAACTTGACACATAGACTTGTTGTCGATGACAACACATTTTTATAATAATTTCAGCCCCACGTCCACAAAAAATTGTTTCCCTGTTTTTCAAGGGGAAGATGATAATAATAATAATAATAATAATAAAGCTTATTTCAAAATCACGCTTCATCCCTAAAGGCTCGAAACGCGGTACAAAGGCATCCATATTAAAAAAGAGAAAGGAAATAATCTATATTTTACCACACTGAAATATAAAACGCAGCATTACAAAAACTACATACGAGAATATTTATTTATTTAGGCATTTTTATATAGCGCTTACCTTAAAGCTCTACGCGCTTTTCAATTATTAAAAACATGTAAACTAAGTAAAATAAAAATGAAAAACCAGAGACACTAGGATAGTAACTACTATACTATAGAAACAATTAAAATGTCTATAAAACGAGGACGCTTTGGCACGTTTTGGCCTATACTACAGGATCAACCTGAGACAGAAAATGAGGCAGTGCAAGGAGGGTGCATCACAGGTCATAGGCGGACCTAAACAGATGGGTTTTAAAGGACTTTTTGAAAGTGGACGAGGTTTCACAATGACGGATGTGTAAGGGGAGCTGGTTCCAGAAAGTGGGCGTATGGAAGTCCCTTGCAACCATAAACAACGCAGGTCACTATACATCTAGGAGATAATAGGAAAAGATAGTAGAAAACATCACCCCAGCAGGTGTTTGCGTAATAGATATGTTTTCAAATCGGTTTTGAAAGACTCTAGTGTCTGGCTGTTTCTGAGAGCGACAGGAAGTGTGTTCCAAGAGATGAAGGCAATATGATGTAATTATTTCCCCAAGAACTCTAGCCATCGCTATGTCGCACAAAAAAAAAATTCATATAAAGGATTAATAGAAAAAACGTTTGCTTTTAAGGGTCGTTCAATTTTCTTTTAAATTTTTTCTAACGTGTCAAAGTCAGCAAGTACACAACCTACTTACCCGGCTCCGTTGGTTTTGCGTCATGCTTGCACGCCAAGAACATCACCAGCACGCACGACACGAGAACCACAATTTTATAGTCGCACGCCATGATGCCTCCAATTTTATTTTATAATACCGCGATTGTTATTTTAGTAGTAAAACGATGTATTTACTTCTCGTATTAGATCTAACAGTTGTTGTTTTTTTTTTAAATCAAACTCAAAAAAAAAAAAAAAAGAAGAAAATGAATGTCTTGTAAATAAAGCCATGATGCCTACAATTTTATTTTATAATACCGCGATTGTTATTTTAGTAGTAAAACGATTTATTTACTTCTCGTATTAAATCTAACAGTTGTTGTTTTTTTTTTAAATCAAACTCAAAAAAAAAAAAAAAGAAGTTTATGAATGTCTTGTAAATAATATAACTGTAACTAATTAAAACATTCTGTTTAGTATTTGATTTGAATTCAGTCCCTCAAATCTTATAATTATATAGTAAATAAATGACTTGACAATTTCAAAGTTGACACGGAAGCACTAAAGACGATCTGCGTGTTTGGTAAAGACGTGTTTTGAATCCGAGACGCCCACCTTGACAATGGCGTGGCAGAGTACTGCCGTGGCCTTCCTACCGAGGCGTAGAAAGGGTACCTCCACCGTGGCCTTCCTTACACGTTGCCGAAATGTGTCGTCAGGCCGTGCCGCGTGTGTGACCAGCCTGGCCGAGTCCACGGTAACGATTTTCCTGGCGCCAGGTGGTTCAAATCGAACCACAACTGCGTCTTGAAACATTTAAAATTCGTCGTCTTGTTTACCCAACTGAAATTTTTCCTGTTGCTTTTTTTCGATGTCTTATTGAGATTACGGCATAATGAAAAAAAAAAAATTAAAAAATTAAAGCCTATACATAATTGCCAGGTCGGAGTCGTTTGTTTAACATTTGTTTTAACAATTGAAGTCCGTGACATTTGGACTTTTTATGACATTGATGTCAGTGACATTTGGACTTTTTATGACATTGATGTCAGTGACATTTGGACCTTTTATGACATTGATTCAGTGACATGTTGACTTTTTATGACATTGATGTCAGTGACGTTTGGGCTTTTATGACATTGATGTCAGTGACGTTTGGAATTTTTATGACATTAATGTCAGTGACATTTGGACCTTTTATGACATTGATTCAGTGACATGTTGACTTTGTATGACATAGATGTCAGTGACGTTTGGAATTTTTATGACATTGATGTCAGTGACGTTTGGAATTTTTATGACATTGATGTCAGTGACATTTGGACTTTTTATGACATTGATGTCAGTGACTTTTGGACTTTTTATGACATTGATGTCAGTGACGTTTGGAATTTTTATGACATTGATGTCAGTGACGTTTGGAATTTTTATGACATTGATGTCAGTGACGTTTGGACTTTTTATGACATTGATGTCAGTGACATTTGGACTTTTTATGACATTGATGTCAGTGACATTTGGACTTTTTAATGACATTGATGTCAGTGACATTTGGACCTTTTATGACATTGATTCAGTGACATGTTGACTTTTTATGACATTGATGTCAGTGACGTTTGGGCTTTTTATGACATTGATGTCAGTGACGTTTGGAATTTTTATGACATTAATTTCAGTGACATTTGGACCTTTTATGACATTGATTCAGTGACATGTTGACTTTGTATGACATAGATGTCAGTGACGTTTGGAATTTTTATGACATTGATGTCAGTGACGTTTGGAATTTTTATGACATTGATGTCAGTGACATTTGGACTTTTTATGACATTGATGTCAGTGACTTTTGGACTTTTTATGACATTGATGTCAGTGACGTTTGGAATTTTTATGACATTGATGTCAGTGACGTTTGGAATTTTTATGACATTGATGTCAGTGACGTTTGGACTTTTTATGACATTGATGTCAGTGACATTTGGACTTTTTATGACATTGATGTCAGTGACGTTTGGAATTTTTATGACATTGATGTCAGTGACGTTTGGAATTTTTATGACATTGATGTCAGTGACGTTTGGACTTTTTATGACATTGATGTCAGTGACATTTGGACTTTTTATGACATTGATGTCAGTGACGTTTGGAATTTTTATGACATTGATGTCAGTGACTTTTGAATTTTTATGACATTGATGTCAGTGACTTTTGGACTTTCTATGATGAAATTGACGTCAATGACATTTCAACTTTGCATGATGACATTAAAGTCTGTTACATTTCAACTTTGTGTGATGACATTAAAGTCTGTTACATTTCAACTTTGTGTGATGACATTGAATTCATTGACATTTTGACTTTGTATGATGATATTGAATTCATTGACATTTCAACTTTGTATGATGACATTGAATTCATTGACATTTCAACTTTGTATGATGACATTGAATTCATTGACATTTCAACTTTGTATGATGACATTGAAGCTGTTGACATTTCGACTTTGTATGATGATACGTCAAATTTTTGTAGAAATTTTTTTTATTTTTTTTATTACGTATTAATTTTATTTTTATGGACTGCTACCCTCCGCTGACGAGAAAACGGAGTCGTAATGTTATCACTTAAGACTCCTTGCGCAATTTTAAATTTTCTTTTATTCTCCAAAAGCCTACCCTCTCCCCACCCAGTTTTTAAGTGTTTTTATAAGTTGTTATAGTTATTTATTAAAAGAAGCCTTTTAAAAATAACCAAACACTCACGTCCCCCTAATTTCATCATTTTTTTTTTCTAAAATAAATTATTCCACTCCTATCCCCACTATACTTTTTAGGACAACCGGCAGGTGAAACTTCCTGTCGCGTTGCCAGGCTTTGTCACGTGACGGCAACCGACAAAGCTCAGGGGAGGTCTTTCAACGGGAGGCGATAAGGACCGTTATTTATCTGCCGTCGCGCGTCAGCCCTGTAATTATTATTTCACCGCAGCAGCGACCACGATGAATCGCCACAGATCTTACCAACCCATTCTGCCTTCCAGCAACAAACTGCTGCAAAGACGCTGGGACAATACCTACTACGATGAACACAGGAAGAAGGTTTGGCAAACTTATTAATTATAATCATTAAAATAATGGAATCGTCAAATAGTTTCAGTCGTATTATTATAGTTATAGTTTAAATTATAGTCATAATATTAATATCAATCAATCAATACATTTTGCTGTTATCTCTACTCCGTTGAAAATTGCCTATATGTTAAAATATCTCCAAACAATACATGTCTTGGTCCGATCTGTGCTTTATGTATAGTATCAGTATCAGTATCAACGGTGAAAAATTGTTTTATCGTATCTCCTCCTCCCCACCCCCCCCCCTTTCACTTACCCCCAGGTGGGCTGAGTCATGTATGGAGTTTGTTTGATAAATTAAACGTTAGCCAAGAAATGAGGAACTCAGTTAAGCCCAGGTCTTGGCCCTAAGCAAGGGAATTTAAAAAAGGATTGTCTGGTTTATTAGTACCTACTACTAATAGGGGAGCTAAGTCTAAGTCTGCTGTACTGTAATGAACTTTGGGTATGTTAATGTTATCAAGTTAAAGGGGGTTGGATTATGCCTCACATGCACTTCAGCAGCAATGGCTTGTCAAAAGTTAGTATCTTAAATTAAGGTAGCCCCCCCCCCCTCCCTTTTAAAAACGTTTTTAAGGACTTTTGTAATGTATTTGTATTGTAAGACGGTTTAGACAGCTTCATCAAAATCTCACAATAGTCCACTCTACAATTAAAAACCAACACTCTTTGACACTATACAAGTATTTTATAAAAAAATTTCTGACGTTTGATGATGAGGAGTAGGACAAAAATTGAATTTTAAATAACATTGAATACAGCAGGCCTGTAGTAATAGTTAATTTATAGGTGGGTTTTTTTTTCTTTTTTATTAAAAGGCCAAACATAAATTAGTTAATTTTTCATGACACACCAGAACCAGTATTTCATTATACACACCAGTACTTCATGTCATATCAGTCATCAGTATTTCATGACACACCAGAACCAGTATTTCATTATACCCACCAGTACTTCATGTCACATCAGTATTTCATGACACACCAGAACCAGAATTTCATTATACACACCAGTACTTCATGTCACATCAGTATTTCATGACACACCAGTATCTCATGACACACCAGAACTAGTATTTCATGACGCACCCAAACCAGTATTTCATTATACACACCAGTACTTCATGTCACATCAGTATTTCATGACACACCAGTATTTCATGACACACCAGAACCAGTATTTCACTATACACACCAGCACTTCATGTCACATCAGTATTTCATGACACACCAATATTTCATGACACACCAGAACTAGAATTTCATGACACACCAGAACCAGTATTTCACTATACACACCAGCACTTCATGTCACATCAGTATTTCATGACACACCAGTATTTCATGACACACCAGAACCAGTATTTCATGACACACCAGAATCAGTATTTCACTATACACACCAGCACTTCATGTCACACCAGTATTTCATGACACACCAGTACTTCATGTCACACCAGTGTTTCATGACACACCAGTATTTCATGGAACACCAATATTTCATTACACTCCCAGCAGTGGCTCAATGATAGTCTAAATGCTCTTCGTGTGCATCAAATGCTTATTATTGCATGGCCAACAAATACACACATAATCTGAACCTTTGAGTCAAATTTTTAAAGGGTCTTATCTCTCTTGTTAGCCTATATTTAAAAGTAACATGCCCATTATTGTATGGCCAACAAATACACACATAATCTGAACCTTTGAGTCAAATTTTTAAAGGGTCTTATCTCTCTTGTTAGCCTATATTTAAAAGTAACATGCCCATTATTGTATGGCCAACAAATACACACATAATCTGAACCTTTGAGTCAAATTTTTAAAGGGTCTTATCTCTCTTTTTAGCCTATATTCAAAAGTAACATAGTAATGTAGAATTATAGATTGAATATTCAAACAGTATTTATAATAATAATAATAAAGTTTATTTTTTTTAAATCACTCTTCATCCGCAAAGGCTCAAAGAGAGGTACAAAGTCAACTATATTAAAAAGAGAAATGAAACAATCTATATTTTACCACATTAAAACACAAAACGCAACACTACAGAAACTACAAACGAGCATGGCATACTCATTCAAAGTCTTTCATCCCTTTCAACTATCAACAACACAAGCCAATATACATCTAGGAGATAATAGCTAGCTGGAAAAGATGGTAGACAGCATCACCCCAGCAGGTGTTTGCAAAATAGATGTGTTTTCAAATCGGTTTAGAAGGATTCCAGTGTGTGTCAGGCTGTTAAAGCGACAGTTACATAGTATGTGCAACTATTATAGATAAATGAATTGTTTTTTTTCCAATTGATGGTGTAACAGGTTGAAAATGCCACGGCGACAGTGGACACAAAAGCTCCCCAGACATACATACATCTGCATCTCAAGCTTAAAAAATTGCAGGTAAAAATGACTTAGAGTCCATATATATTTACTTATTTGATTTTTATGAGAAATGGCATGTACAAGTATTTAACCGTATACCTTTATAACACTAATGATTGGGCCATACTATAACTTACAAAATGTTAGAAACCTTCCTCTGATAGTTAAAACCAATTAAAATCCTTTGCAAACACTTTTGTATGGATAATATTTTATATTTTCCACTAAATTTTATAATGCATTGAGAGTTTTATAACGAAAAGGCCATTACAAATATTAATTGTGAATCAGTGATTTATTTACAAATTGGCTAAAATTAAAGAGTATTAATCAAAACAAGGTCATGGCTGCTTTTTAAATTTACTGTCCATAATTTATTATACTTTACACTACCACATGTCCATTCACCCTCTACTTACACAAAATACAATAACACAACTTTAGTGTTACCGACAATGGTAAAAAAATTTTTTTTACAAATTTATGCATAATTTAAATTTTGATTTCAAACAACATGATGAATTGATTCTCTTAATTTATTGCAGTTGGTTCTCTTTATTTATTACAGTTGATTCTCTTTATTTATTGCAGTTGATTCTCTTTATTTATTTCACTTGTAACAAATCAAACATTTTTTATTGACTATTTACAAGAAAGTACATTCAAAATCTATTTTCATTTGAACAAGTATTACTCTGAGGAATGCTTCTCTTGTCATGCCTTGTAATCTCAGAATGACTTGTATTTTGTATGAAAAAGTTAGGTATTTAGTTCGAAATTCTAAATAATTGCCATTTCTTAGAGTTATTTACTTTTCTTCAGCTTGAGGAGGAAAGGCTGGCCATTATTGAGAGAGACAACAGAATTCTCCTGGAGAAGATGTCTTATATCATGAGGACTCGTGGTCGAGTGGACAACCGAAACGACTATGAGAGCAAAAGGTTTGGTGAATTCATGATTGATAATTATTACAAAAGAAAACAAATTAAAATGGTGTAATCCAAGCAAAGCATGTTTATGATGAGTTACCAGCTCAGAGTGTCTGAAACGACCAGTAAAATATGTCCTCCGTCCAGTAAAACATGTCTCCAACCAATGAAAGATGTCTCCAAGTAAAATATGTCTCCAACCAGTAAAATATGTCTCAAACCAAAAAAACATGTCTCCAACCGATGAAACATGTCTCCAAGTAAAATATGTCTCCAACCAGTAAAATATGCCTCAAACCAAAAAAACATGTCTGCAACCGATGAAACATGTCTCCAAGTAAAATATGTCTCCAACCAGTAAAATATGTCTGAGATCAGTCAAATATGTCATTAGGTGTTAATTACTGATTGTTTAAAATCCTTAACATTTCTAAGCTAACATTTCACCAGCAACAAATGAAAACAAACCCAACATAAACTAAGCCTAATTCTGTCCAGGCTGACCGTTCCGAATATCTTTTATCTGATTTATGGTCACACTCCAACATGTGTTTATTGGGCAAAACCAATTTAAAAAAAAAAATTTTTTTTTTTTTTTTTTTTCCTTTTTTTTTGTGTTGATATTAGCATTGAAATAAATCTGGCCACTTGACACATGTATGTCATTACAGTGCTAAGTTATTGGTCACTGCTTTTATTTGTATCAAAAGACTGTTTTTAATTGTTTTTTTTTTTGTTTTTTTTTTTGTGTTAAGTCAGTAGTCACGTGGGTAAAGATAATTAGAAATAATTTATAGAGCCACCAAACTCTTTAAACTAGGAAGAAGCAGTTATGTAAAAAAAACCAGAAAACTATGTTATTGAAAAGTTAGGTTTTAAAAAAAATTGCTTCTTTACATTTCTGATCTTCTGTTGATATTTGCACTTAAATGGTGAGACCCATTTAATGTAAGATTACTTATTTTTAAAAAATCTACTGGCTCATGGTAATTTCATGCCTAACTATAAGAAATTTAAAAAGAAAGGAAAAAATGTAAAATATTGGTACCGATACTGGTAGTTGGTACAGTAGTGTAAAAAGAAGAACAGTAAATAATTGTTTCATGATTTAATTGTGGTGTGCCACTGAAATCTGGGAAAGGTTTAGGAGCCATGTGAGGGGAAAAAGATTATACCAACATTTTTCTCAGTGGGCTTCCTGTTTGAATGGCTTCAGAAAATGTATTTTCTATAAAATTAATTTTGAGTCTTGTTTTTTTAAGCTTGTTATTCTCAAAGTCACAGAATCATTTAATGTAATTCTTCTTAAAAAAATCAACTACAAACTGGGTCTAGATTTATCTATTTTCTTTCTAATAATCTGATAATTAACTTATTATTAAGACTTAATGATGTACCAGAAATTGACTTACAAGATACATAATTCGTTCAAGAAGTGTAATTATAATATGGGTAATTTAAATGAGAAAAGTTTGTTATTTCTTTATTGTTTGATCTTAGTGATGTGTCTCCACTGAATAATTTCCCAATTTTATTCTGTTTCTATTGGTGAAAATCATTGATAAGTCTCCATTGACTATTTTCCAGTTTGAACAAAGAGAAGCGTCAGCAGGAGTTGTTGAGGATCACTAGAGAAAATCAAGAAATCTTATCGCGCATCAATCAACGAAGACCCGAGTACAGCCACGAGAAGTGGGACGCTGAGTGGGAAGAGAACCTCAGGTTTATGGATAGCATATCAGCGTATCCCCCTGATTGGTGGACTTCAGTAAGTGTTCTCTACGAATGTGTCTAAAAAATGATTAATAGCTGAAAAATGCTTATATCTAAATTAATACACTTAAAATTTTGACAAACATATATAAGTATAAGCACAAATATTTTTGGGAATGTTGACAAAAACTTAATTATTTCAATTCTATACACATAATATTACTGTAAAAGTTAAAATAAGGACATTTTAAAAATTATTTCCTTTTTGATTCATTCAATTAAAAAAATGGTTCATTCTTGTTTAAAATGAAACAATATCAGCATTTCTTATATACATAAAGCAGTCAATTTAGTTACAGTACCGATATAAAGGGAATTATCAATGACAAGCTCAAAACATTTATTAATCATTATGATAAATAATATTTATAATAATGCCAGTTAATAATTTGAAATTACATTCATAATTTACCTCAATAATTTAAACTAAAGTACTTACGCATCGAGTACTCATGCTAGCAGAAGTTTGTATTCCCCCTCCCCCATTTAATATTGAACAATTTCTTTTGTCAATAATACATCTGAAGTGAAATGTTTGGATGGCATGAAAGCTTATGTCATTGTGAAAACCATGCAGCCTGGTGAACTATGGTGATGAGTTCACATCTACTACTATCACTGAGTAGCACCCTGACACATCAGATGTAGATGGAAAAAAAGTTACCTTTAATTCTTTGTTTTCCTGTTGTGTTTTCTCCAAAGGACAAGAAATCTCCCAGAAGGTCTAAAAGTGCCAACACTACAAAAGACGACGGTTCAAGGTCAGAGTCCAGACGTAAGAAAGGGAAAGAAAATAGTAAAACAGACGAAAAAACAGAGGATAAATCAGAAGAGGATGAAGAATCTGAGGAGAAGGAAGAGAAAGAAACCAAGAAAACACAAGAGGACGGTACGGGTAATAAAAAGGGAAAACTTGATAAAAAGGAGAAAAAAGTTACTGATGAAAAAGAGGACAGAGGAGAGAAGGATGATGGAAAGAAGAAAAGAGATGCTCAAAATAAAAGGAAAGAAGAAAAAGGAAAGGAGGGCGAAAAGAAATTAAAAAAGAAAGATCATGACAAGGATAAAGAAAAGAATGAGGGAAATGATAAACAGGAAGAAAGGAAGACAAAGAAAGAAGAAAAGAAAAGAGAAGAAGAAAAGAAGATAGAGGAAGAAAAGATTACAAAGAAAGATGAAAAAGAAATAGAGGAAGAAAAGAAGGCAAAGAAAGAAAAAAAGAAAAGAGAAGAAGAAAAGAAGAAAGAGGAAGAAAAGCGGAAAGAGGAAGAAAAGAGGAAAGAGGAAGAAAAGAAGAAAGAGGAAGAAAAGAAGAAAGAGGAAGAAAGGAAGAAAGAGGAAGAAAAGAGGGAAAAAGAAAAACAAGAAGAAGAGCAAAATGAAGAGGCAAAGAAGAAGGAAAAAGAAGAAGAAAGTACGAAGAGAGAGGAAGAGGAAAAAGAAAATAGAGAGAAAATGAAATTAGCTGAAAGTGAGAAAAAGAGACAAGAAGAGTTAGATGAACAGCAAAAGCAGCAGGATGCAAATGTGGATGAAAACCAGAAAGATGATAATACGAATCTGGACATTGTTCAGACAAAAGATGAAGACGGCATGCAGGAACAGACAAATAAACCTCACAAAAATGAATCTGAGGCATAGGCAACCAAGTCATTGTGATGGATGAGTCTGTGCAAATTGAGAACATTTATCAAGCATCCGTTGATCAGATTGTAACACAGATTTTATCTGTCTTCTTCTGGACAGTTGCATGTATGGAACATAATCAACTTTTGGCATTTAGTATTACCACATTGATTTGTATTGAGTAAAAATTTCCTGTCCTAATGTTACAACATTAAGTTCTACTCACGCACCGTTTTTATTTTCCCAGCCCATTTTGTACCCTTGTCATTTTATTTAAAGTCTGATTACTTTGTCCAATGCCAGAGGTATAGAAGACAATTACCTTAAGAAGTGCATTGACATGACTCTTGACACACCAAAGCATGATTTTTCACAGAGCATGGTGCTGTAGTTGTAATTATTATAAGTTGTAAGTACAGGTACTATAATATTTAGGTATCAACTTAAGCAGCATACCTTACTCCAAGGGAATGTGTGAGTGTCTGATAGGGGGGTCGGGTGACGAGAAGTGGGTGGTTGGGTAATTGGAGGGAAGCATGTTTAGTCTGGCCTACTCATCAAGTAATTTAGTGTGGGGGTTGTCCATATATGTCAGCAGAGGGGAATTATCAACTCATGACGATGAAACAATATGACTTGTAAAACAGTGCACTGTAACCCCTGTAACATGGCGGAGAGTTGACCTAAAATAAATCTGTCTCACCAAAACTCAATCTTGTAATCACGAAGACTCAGATGATCACAACACTTCTAAAATGACATGAATCACACATTTTATTTATAATTGAAACAACAAAACCATGCTGTTGGTTGTAACACCAAAGAAATCATAATAAATGGGTAACTTGTATTTCTAATGTTGACGTCATGATGGTCAGCAATTATAAAAGTTATACACATCAAGGTTGGTGTCAAAGTCTTAAAAATCTTTGACTCGAAGACATAAAAGATATGTTAAGACTTCAAAATAACTGCTAAGAGTATGAGTAGATTTTGTTTAACAAAACCTCTGCAATCACAGTAGCTTTATTATAACAGAAGTCAAATTTTATTACCAGTTGTCAAGCCTGGATAATTTCTATCACAATATGAATATAGCTGTACTCTTTTTAAAATTCCTTCACTAAGTAGGTGCAGCGAGTAAATATCTACCTTGATGGTTAGTCTAGCTCAGCATCTATCGACATCCGTCTTTCTCAATATTAAAAGAAAGAATGGTTGTAAATTAAACTAGCAGTCAGTTTGTACTTTTAGATTGAAAATAATTATTGACACTCTTGTTAAACTTTTATTGGTATGATTCTATTGGTATCATTTTATTGGTATGATTCTCTTTGTCTGTGTTATTAATGAAACCCCTTTGATTGTTTTTATTTGTAAATCAAAATATATTGCCGAGTTGTACTTTTATTATCTTCAAGGCTGGTACACTACAACACATGTTCACTTAGGCTGTGCTCTGTCTCATTCACTTTGGTTTTTAAACATTTGTTTTGATCTGTTATCATTAATAATTGATATGACAGTGCAGCAACAGATGCTGCGACAAGTCTATTTTAATCTATACCCACTCTGTGACACAATATGGGAGGAGTCTAATATTTTAATATACACCCTCAATGGGACAGGTGATGGGAGGAGTCTAAATAATTCACCAACACTTTAAAAGATTGATCTTCATTGAAAATATTAATTTTAATAGAAGTTTATGTATCTTACCAGATGTATTGTATAATATAAGAAATTTTACACATAATTTTAAGTTATTTTATTCTTTTGTCAGGAACAAGGTGAGTTAACATTGGTTTCAGATAATGCAGGTGTTCTTCCTAAACAAAACTATTAATTTATGGACTGGAATAAAACAGAAATTATAATGTTCATAGTTTGTCTATAAAAATCAAATATTTTAGTCACAATTATTAGATGTATAAAACTTGATTGTAGTTTTGCCACATTATTCCTCGTATTTAAAATAATGATGATGCATATTTCTTAAACATAATATTCTGTCCAGTAGGCTCAAAGTCAAATCTTTTTTGAAAGACAGCCTGAATTTAGAAGACAGGTGACTTGAAATGGTCGATTGATGCATGTGTGTGAGAGTATTCAGTATGCACACATCTCTGTACCTGTTGGCAGTTCAATGAAGTAGCTCCTGGTGAGAGATTTATCCTCTTACATTTCAAGCTGCTTTGATCTGATCTCAACATAACCAAAACACAAATGGCTGCCAGGTATCTCAGTCTGGTGCTCCAAAAAGGAGGCATTTTTAAAATGTTGACATTTGAATCTGCACTGGTAGATACTGTGCATTCTCAAAAATGCTTTAACGTACTTTTAAAGTTGCGTGACTGGTTTCATGAAGCACTGTGTGGTTCTTGACCTGTTGCTATTGACTCACCTTGATGCCCATTGGTCACCAACAATTTCAGTTGGTACCGGGAATAATTATCTCAATGTTCATGCACTAAATATTTCTGTGTCAGTTGATATTTTGTTAAAACAAATGCCTAGTGTGGCTGTTAACAGTATTATTCATGTATTTTTTATGATTTGTGATAATAGCAAGACACTGTTGTCTCTCCGATGCCAAAAAAAAATATGGATGTTTGAAAGATTGCTTCAGTAGTCTACATAAGCAGGTTTAATTAGTCTTAAACTTGATCCAAGAACAGCTTGGAAAAAAACAAAACAGGGTCAGGAATCTTAAACTTAAATTTATTTGGTGCGGATTCCTATGAAATGTTTAATTAAAATGGAATTTTTTAGATGTTCTAAGTTAAAGAATGGCTGCTCCATATGATTTTTTTAAATTGACTTTTCTGCCTACTTAACTCTCTGTGTTTATATTTAGATCTGTTGTTTAACACAGTAAACCTTTACATTAAACTGATTAATATTTTTTTAGGTATACATTAACAGGTGTTTGATATTCTCAAGTTTGATTACCCTTGCTTATCATGCTGTAATATCCCTTTGTGAAATAAAGTCAGATAAAGATGGTGATTGTCGTCAGCATTTTTAGCAGAAATTACCACCATTTTTAACCTCCTTTTTAGCCCCTTTGTCAGCAGAAATGACGACCATAGTGACCTCAATTTTAGCCACTCTGTCAGCAGACATTACCAATAAAGTGACCTCATCATTAGCCCATATATAAGTATAAATTACCAACATCGTCACCTCCTTTTTAACCCCTTTGTCAGCAAAAATGACCACCATAGTGGCCTCAATTTTAGCCACTCTGTCAGCAGACATTACCAATAAAGTAACCTCATCATTAGCACATATATAAGTATAAATTACCAACATAGTAACCTCATTTTTAGCCCCTTTGTCAGCAGACAATACGGTACCAATAAAGTGACCTCATTATTATCAGCCCATATATATGTAGAAATTACCGACATAGTAACCTCATATAAATTTCTTCAGTGGTTTTCAGCATAATATTTACTTCCCCACAGAGATGCAACATCCCTCAGAAATAGAGAAAAATTACTTTGAAAAAGAAAAAAAAAGAAACAAGTAATGTTTCTAGGAATAATAATGTATGAATCAAACACAAATGTTCCAGATACGCTATAGCAGTATTCAAATCTTAAGAGAGTCTGTTCAGCAAAGCTGGAGTAATGTTTACAAAAGAAAACAATGGAGCTCCCGGTACTGTAAATGAAAGACGCCAACAAGTCAATGATCTGTTTCGTGGGAAGATTCCCAATATTACATTGTTTATTCAAAGACCTGGAATTGCAGTTCAACACCACCGTTTTTATTGTACAGCTGCAGAGAATATAACAGGCCAGGGTAACACTTGTATAAATAGAACCATCTCCTCAAACAAATTTTACAAATCTTCAACACATTTGACATCTCTTCAACCACATCTGACATCTCTTCAACCACATCTGACTTCTTTATTTACAATATTCCTCGGATTGGTGTTTGAGCTGGGTGACTTCTTTTAAGTTTATGTTACGGACAACGAGATATTGAGTTTTAATGCAGGATTTAGTCTGAATTGATTAAAGATAAAAATCTCACACAAAAATCTTAAAGAGCACATGGAATCTAAAACTATTCAAGGCATTTGACGTCCTCAGAGCAAACAATAATTAAAAATATATAATTTAATTGTTCACTTTCCAAAATGTGTCATAGAATAAAGCAGTGAGACATGAGCTTGAATTTAAACAAGAAAATTGTCAACAATAATTTCCTGCTATTGAGCTCAGTCTTAAGGTGAAAATAACATTATTAAAGGAAATGGGTTTTTTTTAGGTCTGAATCTGAGTGTTAGTTTCAACATTATGAACAATAAAAACATTTATAAAATGCAAGCACCATGATTTCGTTGTGCAGAGAGTAGCATTTAGAAGCAGATCAAACCAGATATGGTCATGGAAATCCAAAGGAGCTGAATGCTAAGCAATGCTAAGTTAAGTATTGTTTAAACCATCAGCCCTTTTTATTCAGTGGAAATTTGAAATGTCCGGCATGGTCATTTATTTCTGTTTATTTTTACTTATTTAATTATTAATTAACTTTCTCCATAAAAAAATTGTCTACACAGCTGAAACATTTATATACTATAATATATAGTCTGGGGGGGATGAGTAGGGGGAGAAAACTTCTTTTTAAAAATTTTCTTTCCATGGGTTTCAACTTTAGTAGCTGTAGGTTTTTCTTTAAGCCAATGCACTTTCACACTATTTTTGCAGAACAACATTTGAACAAAAGTTTTTTTCAAAAGTAACAACGACCTCATACTGCAAGTCTCCATATTTAATTAAACAAATAATTGTCAGTTGGAATCAATGTTTTCATTGCTGTTCAAAATTAAAGTTAAATACAAGCCAGAATGTACAAAAAGTATTTTGAATATTTTACAAATGTTCATTCCAAAAAAAAGTTTAGGAACTATATTGACAAGTTTCTCTTGACCATTCTTGTTTCTGTTTAACTTAAAAATAGTGTAGAAATTTCATTCAATGATATATGCAAATATTTACAAGTTTCTCTTGACCATTTTTGTTTCTGTTCAACTTTCAAAGAGTGTAGAAATTTCATTAAATGATATATGCAAATATTTACAATCAGCATTTCAAGAGAAGCGCAAAAAACTCAAATTGTACCAGGCATCTGGACCTCTGTTTAAACTCAATATCTACCAAAATGTAGAGACTTCATTTCAAAATGAGAAAATACCAAGTTTAAAGTTTAACAGGAGCCATGTAAGTATATCAAATAGGATATGGTAAGAAAAAATGTAAATAAAATGTTAATAAGTATCTAGCAATGAAGTATGAACAACCAAACTGATGATCTTTTAAAATGAAGTATAAAACATCCCCCAAAGAAATTTAGATTGACCTTAACTTATATCTTATATACATCAACTGAAAAATAGCAAATTGTAATACTTCATGTAAGCTATATGCATGTCTAAAAAAAAACACCAGTCTTCATTCAGTAAAGTACTGTAAAGGATAAAATCTTAAAATCTTGTAGGAAATGTAGCCTGTTTGTCTTGAAGTTTTAAATCATCAATTCTTCCTTTTTAAGTACAGTCAAAATTGATTGTCATGAAATTTATGTCAGGAAATGAACTAAGTCAAAATTCATCCTACTCTCAGGCAATGAACCTTTTTTTTTAATGAACATTATCAAAATTCAACAGACTAATGAAATGAAGTCTTATGAAAGTTAAAATAGCCAAAAACAATATCAAGGTTTTTGCATTTCTTACCCTGGGCAACACTTTAAAAAAACAAACATCCAGTACGGTTCTTCAATATGTAGTAAAAACTCAAACAACAATCTTAAATCCTTTCTTGCCTCTTATTCGTAAGTGGACTTTGTAAATTTCCAAAAGGCACACAATGACAAAATAAATGATTTGTTTTAACATTTAAATAAAGGCAATGGACTTTGTCAAGCCTTTGCAAAGTCTCTAGGAGTCGTCTTTTTCAAAACAGAAATGACTAATTTGTGTCAGTCCTGTACTAAGCGTCTTTTTAAAAACAGAAATGACTAATTTGTGTCAGTCCTGTACTAAGCGTCTTTTTAAAAACAGAAATGACTAATTTGTGTCAGTCCTGTACTAAGCGTCTTTTTAAAAACAGAAATGACTAATTTGTGTCAGTCCTGTACTAAGCGTCTTTTTAAAAACAGAAATGACTAATTTGTGTCAGTCCTGTACTAAGCGTCTTTTTAAAAACAGAAATGACTAATTTGTGTCAGTCCTGTACTAAGCGTCTTTTTAAAAACAGAAATGACTAATTTGTGTCAGTCCTGTACTAAGCGTCTTTTTAAAAACAGAAATGACTAATTTGTGTCAGTCCTGTACTAAGCGTCTTTTTAAAAACAGAAATGACTAATTTGTGTCAGTCCTGTACTAAGCGTAGCAGGTTAAAAAAAAAAATCAAGGATGTACCAGAGAGCCAGACCCAAAACTTTTATGGTGAGCTGTTACTCTGTGGGCACCCGCAGACTTACATTCTGTATCAAATCAATTGTTGCCTCCATCACCCTCAGGACCCCAAAACGTGTAACACATGGGAGCAGGGCGAGCTTTCAAGATGAAAGTTGGACTCACTAGCCACCTGAGTACTCTGCATCAAATAAAGCCATCATGCGAAGGATGTAAACAACAGCCCTAGGACACTATAAGATACAGTGACACTGTTTTAGGTCAAATTATCTTGTCCCAATTACTGGTATGTTTCATTTCAAAAGCAGTAATACTACAAATATTGAGGGCCAAACTGTGTGTTAACTATTGTGTCAACATTTGGACAACATCATCAAATGCGTACATCCTCACAAGTGAATAAAAGTTCTTTAACTGTTAATTTACTTAGGCTGGAATTTCCTATTTCCTATAATTTATAATTATAAAAAGTTTACTTAACATCTCCAAAGCAGAATGGTTAAGTAAATAATGGGCAGCCGATTATTGTGTAGCAAAGGCACTCACTCAGTAATGAGCCAAGTTCCTAATGAATATAACACTAGTACAGGCTTGACTGTAGTTGAGGGTGCAGTGACTGGCACATGTACAGGCTTGACTGTAGTTGAGGGTGCAGTGACTGGCACATGTACAGGCTTGACTGTAGTTGAGGGTGCAGTGACTGGCACATGTACAGGCTTGACTGTAGTTGAGGGTGCAGTGACTGGCACATGTACAGGCTTGACTGTAGTTGAGGGTGCAGTGACTGGCACATGTACAGGCTTGACTGTAGTTGAGGGTGCAGTGACTGGCACATGTACAGGCTTGACTGTAGTTGAGGGTGCAGTGACTGGCACATGTACAGGCTTGACTGTAGTTGAGGGTGCAGTGACTGGCACATGTACAGGCTTGACTGTAGTTGAGGGTGCAGTGACTGGCACATGTACAGGCTTGACTGTAGTTGAGGGTGCAGTGACAGGCACAAAAGACCAGGGCTGTTGTTTGCTCATAATATTCATGACATTCATCACAGGTAAAAATAAAATTGGCAGACTTGGGCAATAAAACAGTTAGATGAGTCCAACAAAGTAACTCCTACAATTGCTTTATCCTATATCCTACAATTATATTATCCCAAATGCTACAAGGTGGACTTGGCTTTCTGGGTCAGCTTTCTTTTTTTTCTTAATGAATACTGATCCTTGGCGCCTTTGAATCGATCCACTCGGATATTACTTTTATCCAGCTTCTCATACATCTTTTGCAGTCTTAGGGCAACCAAATGATCAGACTGCTCCTGAGTCATGTGACTCTGATCCACATCCTCCAGACTCACGGTCATCTCATCCTTAACTGGAGATTCACTAGAATTACTAGTGCCCTCCCCCAGTCCACTACTCAATCTTTTTCTTTTCCTAGGTAACTTGAGATCAGATGCCTTCTTATCTCCTGTGTGAAGCCACTTCAGAACTGATTGGCAAGTGTTCTTTGATAGGCCAGTGCTCTTTTTAGAATTCACAGGTGCCGTCTTCACATTGCCCTTAATCATGGAGTTATTATTCACATTTTTACTCAAATGACCACCACCACTGCAATTAGTTTCTGTGACGCTCTCAAAGACTAAAGTACCATTGACATTGCCTGAAGGAAGTCCTTCAACATCCTTCTTTTCCCATGTATCCTCACAATAATCTTCATAAAACATAGAAGACTCTGAATTGGAATTTCCCTCTGTGATGTTCAAAGAAATTTCACTGTCCCATTTAATCCTCAAGCTTTCATCCCCATCACTCGAACACGTGTCATCACGCTGCACACTTCTCTTGCCAACATTTTCAGGACACGATGTCAGTTTGATATGTCCGTCATCAGATGACACGGTTTCACAATCGTCAGGATCACAAGACCTTATGGAATCACCAGAAGACCCCACGACTGGATTAAATTCATCATCATTCACAGGTTCACTCGACTGTTCCCTTTCCTCACTAAAATTTCTTTCAGACTCAACAGATTTGAACTTAAATGAAACCTCCCCATCTCCATACACCTCGGTGTCTCCTTCACTCATTTCCTCAGCAGATAATACAGGCGGCATTGTTAAATTTTCAACCTCATCTTTCTGATGGCACGAACTCAACCCATGACAAAGTATGGTTTTGTCATGACCATGGCAGGAAACCGTGTGACCTGCCAGTGTTTTATTTTTATTCACACAACTTCTACTCCGATGACCACAAAGTGGTAACTGGTTATCTTCACCGGGCGGGTTGTCTGAATGAGCTGCGGTCAGACTGACCAAAGGTGAGAATTCAGCTTGCACAGGATTACTGGCCATGGAATGACCCAAACGTTGGGACGGGACCACATGACGCCTTTCACCCAGCCGATGATGTACCTCGAACTCTGAGATTTCCAGCGTCTTGACATCATACTCACAGCTCTCTGTTAATATTTTATTATTTGCAGTCTTCCTCTCAGCTTTACCCCTCATGCTTTGGTATTGCTGGCCACTGGGGCCAGGATCCAATTGATCTTCTGAAAGTTGACCCATACTGGCAGACAAATCCATCAGGCGTGAGACGTGATCACTTCGAGTGCCGTTTGTTCTTTGTTTGGGGCTTAGAGAATCATTGAGGAAGGCTGAATGTGGAACAGTGTTGAAAAATGTATTCAAAGTTAAGAAACTTCCTCCTTTGATTGGTGGTTGATTTCTCTTGCCCTTTTTAGATCCTCTTTTCAATGTTGTTTTGGGGACTGGACTTCGATTTTCCACGCTTGACCTTATAGAGACCTGTGTGTTGTGTAAACATCAAAAAAAAAAAAAAAAAGTTAAATTTAAAAATAGTAATACTAAAGATCCAAAATAAAACAGATACGTGGTCAGATTAGAATTTTTCAAAATGCGTCCAGAATAGGTTCTAGACTTGGCTGTGTTTAATTGAATTTATTTTAGCATGCTTTTTTATAGATTTTAATGAAATGCTGATCAATAATATATGTCATCCTTCGATTCAATATAAAATTCAAATCCATATTCGTAAATACATTTAATAGTTGTGCTTACCAGACAGATGTTTCAAATACTTTTGTCACTTCAAAATTAATTTAATAGAATGAAGAGCTATGCACTGAATCAACAAGCAGGGAGAGCAACGTACTGTCCAACATGGAGGGAGACCTATAGCTAAGACCTGCACAAACAATCATGACAAGCTACGTACTGTACCAAGAAGCATGAAAAGCTATGTGCTGTACCTACAATCTTGAGTGTGAGATAAACACTTTACAATAACAAACCTGTTCAAGTCTTATTGCTGCCTCCTTGTCTATCTTCTCCAGTTCTTCTTTCTGTCGCAGCCGCTCCACCATCTCTTCATCTGCCTCCTGCTGCAGTGCTCGGATCAGGGCGGCACTGGCCTCTTCTTCTCGTTTTGCCTCTTCCTCTCGCTGACGTTGAAGCTGAAAAATTCATTAGAGGAGATGAGAATTTTCATACTTAGAAACTATAGAAAGTAAGAGAAGAATTCTGCTCAGGGGAGAGCAAAAAAAAAAAATATATAAATCTGAGTTCATTTTCTTAACCATGTATCACATTTCGACATTAGGGTTAATCTATTCAAACGTGACCATTGAATGATTGATCAAGGTTTTATCCAAATGAGGCTGTAAACTCCATACACACATGAATATATCAGACAGAAATAATACACATCCTACTTCCACAAAGTTCAATTCACCTTTTCAAGTGCAGCTTCATACTCTTGTCGTATTTCCCCAGGTCTCGATATTTCCTTTAATTTTCGTAGCTCTGAAAAGTTAATAAATCTAAAGTCATTAATATTATCATAGATGCTGCCTTTCATTACAACAATAACAAAAAAAAAAAAAAAACACAAAGAAAAAAAAAAAAAAAAAAAAAAAAAAAAAAAAAGAAAATATAAAAAAAAAAAAAAAAAAAAAAAAAAAAAAAAAAATTTCGTAGCTCTGAAAAGTTAATAAATCTAAAGTCATTAATATTATCATAGATGCTGCCTTTCATTACAACAATAACAAAAAAAAAAAAAAAAAAAAAAATAAAAAAAAAATAAAAAAAAAAAAAAAAAAGTTAGAGTTTTTAAAAAAAAAAAAAAAAAAAAAACACAAAGTGAAAAAAAACTAACAAATAAAAAGACAGTGTTGGAGTTTTTAAAAAAACAAACAAAAAAAAAAAGCATATAATTTAAATGTTTTAAAAATTAACCTACGGGTTTCATGATCCTCTTGAAAATCACTTTCCTCATCATCATAGTCCTCCCCTTCCAATCTATGCTGTACCTCAAGGGGAAATGCCTCCTTTATATATTGCCATTTCACTTGGTCAATCAGGGTGTTGCTTTTGGAGGCCTTCCTGGCCCACACTGATATACGCATTCTGCAAATAGGGCAGGTCAGATTGGAGATCTCCACAGTTTGTCTGTAGCACGTCAAACAAAAAGAGTGCTTGCATGGTAGGGTGACAGGTTCGATCAGAAGGTACATACATATGGGACATGTATATTCAATTTTACTGGGTGCACTTTGCTCCATCTGTCACTCCCGGATTCTAACAACTGGAATATTACATGTTTCCTGAAATCTGAAAGTAAGAATACAATACTGGTAATATTAAAAATAGTCAATTAGGATGTATAACAAAAAAAAAATTTAAGTGGGTGGCAACACTTGGGCCTATAAGAAATACATTTTTTATTTGGCCCTACCAAATAGAAAAAAAAAACTTGTATCAGATAAATACAAAGCAAAAGTCGAAATCATTTGAAGACAGCACCATAGCCAGAAGTGGAACTTGGGGAGCTTTCATGACATATTTATTATGCACAGTGGAACACATCGCCTACCTTACCTCTAACCCAAATCCAGCCAAGGATCTTTTATGGGCCCCAGTCTATATTAAAATTAATATAACACAGGGCAGACTAATAGGATTAATAGGACTACAGCAATATAAATATATGCGAATGCTAAGACTAAGTCAGTGGCGGCCATGTCAAAAAAAAAGTAGTGCACAAACACCCAAAAAGAGGAGACCCGGATAACATAAATTTACCAAACTTAATAGTGGTACTCCTAGCCAGTTAATCATGTTGCTCCGACTTTAAGTGCTATTTTAACGGTTATACTTTTATTGGTCTCTGTTAATAGGAAACACCAGAGTGGATAGTGGAGAAAGGGCCACTGGGTTTTCACTGACATAGAAAGAGAGAGTCTTTGCTGTTTTCTTGTTTAAAAGCTAGACAGATGTGCTATGACTTTACAGGATTGCATAGAGAGATAATTCCTTCCAGGCTCACTTATTGTCTCGGACAGATGGGCGGCTCATGCAAACATAAACGAGATGAGAAATTTCTATTTTTAAAATTATTGAACAGACAAAATTTTTAAAATAGAAAAATTTAAACAATTTGAATTAAAAATTCTTCTCATATTTCACTATGTTCCCTGTAAAGTAAATATTATATTTTTTTTACCCTAGTGTAAAACCCCCTTAACAGCTGCGCTAGCAGAGAGCAGAAATGTTGTTCTTTAAGTAATAGCTTAAGTAATTCTTGGATTATCGTGGCAGAAAGTGTGCTTTTTCTTGGAGATTTCTGAGAATTATACAATAAATCTCTTGTGGAATATTGTGATATGTGATTAAATATAGGATATTTCAATATCAAAGGTAAACGGTAAGCGAGTATTTTTGTTTACATTTTTATTTGATTTATGCCTTAAAAATCACAATATTCATTAAAATATCATTACATTACATAGAATAAATAATGGGCCCTGCAAATAATAGGTTCGGGGGGGGGGGGGGGGTTTGCCTTTTTTTTAAAAGTGAGGGGCATGAATAAGGGTGGGGGGGGGGGGGGGGGGGGGGCTATGCCTTTACTTAAAATACTACATACTATTCTAGGCTTATAGGCCCTATATATATATGTTTTTAAATGAGTTAATATGGGTTAATAAGCTGGATTTCCAGTGTAAATCAAGTTATTTACTTTTTTTTTAAAAGTCAGTAATCGATAAGAAGTAATTTTGAAACACATGTGACAAAAATTTGGTTTTTCTTTTTTCACCAATGAACCGCGTCCTAACCTCCACAAAAAAATATAAATGAGTTAAGTTGGCATTACTTTACCTACAATTTTTAAGTTAAGACCTCAAATTCTTTTCAGAACTGAACTGTCAAATGACACTAATGTCTAATGATAAAAAAATATGTCTACTCTCAGATATGTGTGGAAATAGAATGTGCATGTTGGGCTATAAATGGCAAAAAACTCCTAAATACGAGACTATGTAAATTAAAAAGTGGAGGCAGCCATTTTGATAACGAAATCAGTATACACTGTTTTTTTGGTGTTTTCCAGGTGATATCAGAGTGCCTTTTAAATAATTATTCAAACCAGAACACAATTTTCAAATTTTTGGTAGATTACAGTTAATATTAAAACAATAATATTCTAATTAGGGCCTAATTAGAGTATTATTGCTATTAATAAATTAGGGCAATTTAGGCTAATATTTTAGACACTTAGGCTTAGACATTGCCGACATTGGGCTAAGCTGTAATTCAAATATTAAAAAAGACCAATAGTAACTAAGTAAAATGCAGTAAGTAGTAAACGGCAGGGCCAGCGATGACTTCCACAGTTATATAGGTCATGGAGATTCCCCAGATCAACTAACGGCCATACTTCAAAACATTTCAAAATTTAGTTCTGTAATTATTTGTTGGTTTTTTTTTGCTTCTCATTCTCATTTTGTAATTATTGTCTAGAAAGAAAGAGAAGGGTCAACAGAGGGGGGTCTCCCCTCCCCAGAAATAATTTGCGTTTTTATTTTTGTATTGAATTTAAAGGAGGGGCAGACGTTGGGAGCCCCTCCCCAGAAATTATGTTGAAATGTCCTGTTAAATTGCGACATTATTATTCATTATAGAAATGAATAGGATATATTACAGGGACTTCGTTGGTTCACTTTATTTTAAGCATTAAAAAATTTGCACTTTTAAACATGCCCGCATCTTTTTTCCGGTGTTCATTTTGGGTAATCAACAAGGATGAGTTCCTCTATTTCTTTTTAATCTTGTAAGTTGAATTTTAATAAAAAACCAATGGGAAATTTCATTTAACTGTATGGATTATCAGGCAGTGCGGGCGAGGGCCTGTCAGATATTCACCCCATGTGGCGTGGAGGTGTTAAATCATTTGTAGACGACTTATAACTTATGTTTTTGACGCGAATAATAAATAATAATAATGGCATTGCTCAGTGAAGAACACGAAAGTTATCATTCTCATTTTTCAGGTCCAATCCTTGGTCCTGTCACCCCCAGGTCCTGTATATTGGGATTCTCCAAATTGACGTCACCGTGCTTAGGGTGAGACAACACTTGGCAAGACCATGTTGTTAAATGCACATTTACCAAGTTGACCAAGTTAGCAGTGGCAGTAGACAAGTAGTCTTATCTGAGATTAGTAAGTAACAAGACAACTTCAAGTTGTAAGTATTGTAACTTTAACTTAATACCAATCGAAATGTACTGCTGGTTCCCAAATACGGATAAACGATGCTGCCAAACTACACAGTAGAATGAGAAAAACTTACTTTAATTCAATGCTGAGTGTGTATCTACGGATTTTCCGCCATTATTTCACAGAGTTAGACGTATTTCCGTCTTTTCCTCTTTCAAGACCAGTTGTATGCACCATATTTATATGGTCCATTTCAAATTCTTTAGGACAGGCCTGCACAACATACGGCCCGCCAGCACCCAATTTTGTGTAATAACGAAATATTCTTTAATATTTTTATTTTCTCAATAGCTTTCCCCCTGTTTATCATCTTTTGGCCCGCACAAGTTTTTCATAAAGTATTACGGCCTGCACAAATTTTTCATTAAGTATTACGGCCCGCCTAACATTATGAGTTGTGCAGGCCTGCTCTAGGGCAGTGGTTGGCATGCGACTCTTTGGCGACTCTTTAGCGACCTGAGTGCGGCTAGGCCAGTCAGCGAAAAAAAACAACATGTTTCTTGACAGGTTCTTGAAAAGAAATTTGGATCTAAAAAATAATTAATCGTACTGCTGCTGATTTTAGTCTCTTTTGACTGATGACTTTGTCAACCACTGCTATACGGCAAAAGAACATATTATCATTGTATTAATAATGTCAACACTAAACACTACCCTTGTTGGATTATTCGTTTAAAACACTACAAGACTGACCACGGGGATCAGATGCATGGTCGCCCTCAACAACTTTCTCAGGGAGGGGGGGGGGGGTCAACAAACTCCGGACATTATTTTTTATAGAAAGTTAAAGATTAAAAGAGCCCATGCCTATTTATTATTAGTAGCCTATTTGTTAAATTAGAGTTTATTTTACGAAAATAAAACGGTCATTAAAAAAATTCATTTCTTAAAATAAATTATTAAGCTAATGATATAAAGTAGTCAACACTAAACACTACCCTTGTTGGATTATTCGTTTAAAACACTACAAGACTGACCACGGGGATCAGATGCATGGTCGCCCTCAACAACTTTCTCAGGGAGGGGGGGGGGGTCAACAAACTCCGGACATTATTTTTTATAGAAAGTTAAAGATTAAAAGAGCCCATGCCTATTTATTATTAGTAGCCTATTTGTTAAATTAGAGTTTATTTTACGAACATAAAACGGTCATTAAAAAAATTCATTTCTTAACATAAATTATTAAGCTAATGATATAAAGTATACAGCATAGAGACGCACTGAGTCACACATTTCTTGATACAGCATTTAGACTCACTGAGTCACACATTTCTTGATACAGCATATAGACTCACTGAGTCACACATTTCTTGATACAGCATATAGAATCACTGAGTCACACATTTCTTGATACAGCATAGAGACTCACTGAGTCACACATTTCTTGATATTCTTTAATTTCAATCTTTGAAAATGAATTGAAGCCGACATTTATCCTGCATGCTCCCAAAAATCAAGCCAGTTCATTGCTTCAAGCTCAAAGTTGTCAGCTGAGTACAAACTAGTTATGTAATGAACGCTCTGCCCAAACTCGACACGATTAAGACATGCCATGATAGCAGACTGTAGTCTGAATATCTGGAACTGGGGACTGTTGTCTTCAGAGAAACGGTTGGTCAGAGATGATATTATAGAATCCAAGTACGGAACAAATGCTGTTTGTCTAAAGCAATCTTCTTCGGAGTCGGGAACTTGACTTTTGTCATTTGAGTTGCTAGGATTTCTGGGATATACTTGTCCTACACAGATACGAGCTGTGTGTGTGTGTTAGTGTGTGCTTTTATTTCTGTTGTGTTTATCAACTAATAATCTTCAAAGAAATTGACCACAAGAAAAATAATAAACAACTAAAAAACAACAATAACAAACTAATAATACAAATGTGTTGGGAATCAATATTAATTTTAATATAAAATTAAAAATAAACTATTCATTATAAAATCCAATGTAAACGAAATGGTCACCTATGACAGTGTATGTGGAAATGGTCACCCATGACAGTGTATGTGGAAATGGTCACCTATGACAGTGTATGTGGAAATGGTCACCCATGACATTGTATGTGGAAATGGTCACCGATGACTGTGTATGTGGACATGGTCACCCAAACACTGTGTATGTGGAAATGGTCACCCATTATTTTGTATGTTAAAATGGTCACCGATGACTGTGTATGTGGAAATGGTCACCCATGACAGTGTATGTGGAAATTGACACCAATGACTGCGTATGAGGACATGGTCACCCATGATTGTGTATGTGTCAATGGTCACCCATGATTGTGTATGTGGAAATGGTCACCTAAATGATTGTGTTTGTTATTATATTAGGCTAGAAAAGAAAGCCGAATTATTCATAAGTCAAAGCCCATATTTAACTTAAGAAAGAGGAAATCAATAAACCACTGTATTGTGTTACTATTACATGATTTGGCAGAAAGGTGAGTGAAATGTTCAGAGCAAAGCATGTTGAGTTTTCGCTAGAAATCTTTAGTAGCGTGTGGCTGATGCAGGACTCTAGGGGCCAAATAGAATGTTCAGTTATTGGTGTCCGTTCTATAAACAGTTTGCTCTTTTGGTTCAACACAACACCAGCACTGTCATGGTTCAACACAACACCGGCACTGTCGTGGGTTCAACACAACACCAGCACTGTCATGGTGCAACACAACACCGGCACTGTCGTGGGTTCAACACAACACCGGCACTGTCATGGTCGTTAAGACCATTCGTGAACTGGAATTTTGAAAAACAGAAGTGTCCTTTCTGACACAATGAATCTGATAACGGATTAAAGATCTGCTAGTCCCAGGAACACATCACCATTTCTCACTAGTCCCAGGTACACATCACCATTTCTCACTAGTCCCATGTATACATCACCATTTCTCACTAATCCCATGTATTCATCACCATTTCTCACTAGTCCCAGGTACACATCACCATTTCTCACTAGTCCCAGGTACACATCAACATTTCTCACTAGTCCCAGTTACACATCAACATTTATCACTAGTCCCAGGTACACATCAACATTTCTCAGCTTGAATCGAACTAGCGAGTTTCACTTATATTATTGATTTAAAAATAATTAATAAAATAAATAAATTCAGGTCCAGGTTTTCATTAGTTTGTTTATTGATACGTGATTTATGATTGCATGATCAGTGGCGACGCCATCAAATTTCACATGGCGGGTCCCTTGCAGGTCTTAAAAAAATTTTGCGGGTCCCAAATTAATGTCATGTATTAAAAATAAAATTTATTTATTAAGTAATATTTATTAATCTACTAACTTAACCCAAAGTTTACATACATTGTCAATTGTCATAATAAATTTATTTGAATGTATCATATTTGTAAGGTCAATCACGTTTATCTAGAGAATTCACACACGTGACACTCCACACTATTGACCGATTGACTCCAGATACACTGACACAGGACAGGCCAATTGCATTTCAAAATATTAGTAAAAAGTTATAGAGTTTCTATAAACACACACGCACACATATAATTTATAAAAATAGGTACATAAATCAATATAAATAAATAAATAAATAAATATATATCAAATATATATAGAAAATAAAACTTGAGTGTCAGTACGTACGCTATTGGGGGGGGGGGTTACTGAAAAGGTACGCCATTCAACAGGGGGGGAGGGGGTCGAAATTCGCGATATTTTTGCGTACGTAATATATGGATGGCATCTTGCAAGTTAAAAACTTAAATTTTATATATATTACATTTTATGACGTTATATTGTTTTTTGTTGTCGATAAAAATTTAAACATAGGCCTACAAAGGCATTTAAAATGGAAGTTCTCTTACATTTAATGTAGTTTACGCTTAATGAGCATATATAAAGTATTAGTAACTAATAAAAATTGACGAGGTCATTTGCCAGGTCCCAAGTTTTTTTACCAGGTCCTGGGACCCAGCGGGACCTGGTGTAGCGTCGCCACTGTGCATGATTAATACTTAGCTAATATTTAAAATTAATGGTGAGGCTTTCTTGTGTGTTAAAGTGCCATCTGTAACAGGTTACAAACCTATGACAGGACTATGCTAGGACCATGCTAGGACTATGCTAGGCCTATGATATGACTATGGATAGGACTATGATATGACTATGCTAGGACTATGGTGCCATGAAAGTTCCTAAGATAAGTGATTTAATTAATGTTCAAGAGTCATGGGAACCCTCCTAAGGCAATCCTTTTGATTGCGTCACTTCCGTTACTGCCATCGCTCGTTTAAAGCAGCGCTTGGAGAGTTTTTGACAATTTAAAATTAAAAAAAAGAAATGTAATAAAATTTCATCTATGTGGCAGAATAAACTGAAAACAAAGAATGCTAGCAAGAAATAACTTCCCACCAAGACTGATCTTGATCTATTTGTGGCGTGGACATCATCATTCTAATCAACAGATAGGGCCTTAATTTTCAACCATCAACCTAACTAGGCCACTTGGTTTAAATGTGCACATACCATGAACCATCATAAGAATCCAATTTCAAATGCCAAGAGATGTACATTATTTTTTTTTTAAAGGTTTCAAGTTTAAAAAAATGAAATTAAATGAAGATTCGTTGGAAAAACGAAAGAGGAAGCACATTTTTTGAAAAAAAAATAAGTAAAACTATCAACATTGATTGAAGCAAATAATATTAAAACTATTCATGCAATTCATTAAAAAATCGCTTAGGTTCACTCACATAAGTTTGACAAAAAAAACTAACATTTGTGGTGTGTGTGTGTGGGTGTGTGTGGGTGTGTGTGGGTGTGTGTGTGTGGGTGTGGGTGTGTGGGTGTGTGTGGGTGTGAGTGTGTGTGGGTGTGTGTGTGTGTGTGTGTGGGTGTGTGTGGGTGTGTGTGGGTGTGTGTGTGGGTGTGTGTGTGTGTGGGGAGGTGTGTGTGTGTGTGTGGGGGGCGTGTGTGTGTGGGGGTGGGTGTGTGTGTGGGGTGTGTGTATGTGTGTGTGTGGGTGTTGGTGTGTGTGGGTGTGTGTGTGTGGGGGTGGGTGTATGTTTGTGTGGGGGTGTGTGTGTGTGGGTGTGTGTGTGTGTGTGTATGTGGGTGTGTGTGTGGGGGGTGTGTGTGTGTGTGGGTGTGTGTGTGTGGGGGGCTGGGGGTGCTGGGGTTATGAACAGTAAACTAACTGAAAAACAAATTTGTTTAAGTTTTTTAATGGAGGATTGGGGGGGGGGTGTGTAAGGAGGGCTGTGATGGATTCACTGGACAAGCCAAAGCATCACAAGTCCCAGGTAGTTGTCCGTCTGCACCACGCCCCCTGGAAACACGGTCACCTGCAAGACGTCACCTTTGGCCAGAAGGATGCTGGTGCCTGGGGGGGGGGTGGAGTGTGATGTTAGAAAAAGTCTTTTACAATTTGACAGTTTCGTAATTGCAGATTGATTGAATTAAAGAAATACTGCTGGTGGCAAATTATCTGAAAAGTCCACACTAGAGTTAACGATTATGCCATGTTACACGATAGCATTGATCACACGGTCCACACTAGAGTTAACGATTATGCCATACACACATGATTTAATCTTGATTTCAGGTATTCATAGCTACCATTCTGCTGTGTTTCCTCATCAAATTGACAGTGCTGACCACAAGAATGCGACACGGTCAGTATCTCTCTACGGCCGACCTGATGCTTGACCTCAGTGAGGAGAACTGTCACGATCCTCGCATAGACCTGCAGTGACCAGAGGCGTGTCGTCAAGGCGGACAAGTCATCGGGTAAGGAACACAAACATGGTGTCCATAATAATATGCCAAATTGGCTAACTTTTAAAGTAACACTTGGATACTGGATTTATTTCATAATATTAAAGGTATCAGTTTTTTTTTTGTTAAGGATAAATGTGTTCATTAGCGTTTAAACCAGGGGGATCTCACACTCGCGGCCCGCGGGACAGCCGAGGCCCGCGAGACGATATTCAGTGTTATTGCGGCCCGCGCGTCTTCACCATTCTCACATTTAAAATGTGACCCTCCTTAGCCTAACGGACAAAATAGCCCCTCCTTAGCCTAACCGACAAAAGAGCTCTCCCTGGTATCACAAACAGTTCTTTAGTTCAGGGCACCCTTGGCTCAAAAAGATTTCCCAGTTTACAATGCTTAAATTTTAAAATGATCTTATTTTATTTTGAAGAAAAAACAAAACAAAAAAAACATGGTCACCTTACGTCTAAGGACCCAGGTCAAAGGTTGCTGTGGAACAGTTGCACTTAAAGAGATGCAGTGAAATGTCTTACCGAGTTGGTCCTGAAGTGGCAGGCTTTGTCTGGGTCCTGGTAGAAGTAGATAGTGGCGTAGACGTAGTACATGCCAGGCGCTAATATCACGATCGAGTCCCTCTGGTGTAGCGCAACGTTTCTACGATGCTCAGTCGCCGTAGGCAGACCTGGCTCACTGAAGGTCATGCTGACTGAAGGAAATGACTTATTGGTATGACCGAGTGTGACTGAATGATAAGACTGATTGGTATGTCAGACTATGACTAAATAGTATGGCTGAATGATATGAATGAATGACATGACTGCTTGGTATGACAGAATATGACTAAATGATTTGACTAAATATTATGGCTGAATGATATTGCTGAATGATTTGGCTGAATGGTATGGCTGAATGATATTGCTGAATGATATGTCCGAATGATATGGCTGAATGATGTGACAATGATAGGGCTGGTTGATATGACTGAATGATATTTTTAAATGATATGGCCGCATGACATGACAAGGCTATGTCTGAACAGCATGACTGAATGATATAACTGAATAATATAAATCTATGTCATTCATTTAAAAGCTGTATGAATATCACTAAAGCTTCCCTTGTTCATAAAGCCACATAAAGATTGTTAAAATAAATGAGACCTTATTCTTATATCAGTTCTATCTAACCGCAACAGAGGTCTCCAAATTAAGAAAACAACGAGAATGACCACCCACTGCTGGTATTTCCGGTCATGTTTGGTGACGGCACCATCCTAAACCGGGCAGACGAGAGGTCGATGTCGTCTGTTGTCGTCAGGAGAACTTTCAATGCAGTAGTTCAGCATGCGGAAAGAAATACATTATTTCGGATTATTTCTGGAGCATAATGTGTAACGTAAAATATGGACGAGCGATGGATCCCCTAAAGAACTATGTCGACTCCGGGAACAGTTCAGTTGTATTGGTCACAATTTGAACAGTTCAGTTTTGTAGGTCACAATTTGAACAGTTCAGTTTTATAGGTCACAATTTGAACAGTTCAGTTGTATTGATCACAATTTGAACAGTTCAGTTGTATTGGTCACAATTCGAACAGTTCAGTTTTATAGGTCACAATTTGAACAGTTCAGTTGTATTGGTCACAATTTGAACAGTTCAGTTTTATAGGTCACAATTTGAACAGTTCAGTTTTATAGGTCACAATTTGAACAGTTCTGTTGTATTGGACACAATATAAACAGTTCAGTTTTATAGATCACAATTTAACAGTTCAGTTTTATAGGTCACAATTTGAACAGTTCAGTTTTATTGGTCACAATTTGAGCAGTTCAGTTTTACAGGTCACAATTTGAAAAGTTCTAAAAAAGTTCACATTTTAGTTGAACATCTTACCGTTGTGCCGTGAACAACTGGTCAGCTGGCAGTCCAAAACCTGAGACAGTTAAGGTTATTCGTCATGTTCAAGATTGAGGAGCGATTGAATTATTTTCAATTTAAAAAAAAATAAAATAAAAACGCAGTGGCAGGATAGTGCCCGCAGCCCCAGATATGTTTGGGATCTACTTCTATGAGTCACAGGGGCAGAATAGTGCACGCAGCTCCGATATGTTTGGGATCTACTTCTAAGAGTCACAGGGGCATAATAGTGCACGCAACCCCAGATATGTTTGGTATCTACTTCTAAGAGTCACAGGGGCAAGATAGGGCCCGCAGCCCCAGATATGTTTGGGATCTACTTCTAAGAGTCACTGGGGCAGGATAGTGCCCGCAGCTCCAGATATTTTTGGGATCTACTTCTAAGAGTCACAGGGGCAGAATAGTGCACGCAGCTCCAGATATGTTTTTTATCTACTTCTAAGAGTCACTGGGGCAGGATAGTGCACGCAGCTCCAGATATGTTTGGGATCTACTTCTAAGAATCACAGGGGCAGGATAGTGCCCGCAGCCCCAGATATGTTTGGGATCTACTTCTAAAATTCACAGGGGCAGGATAGTGCCCGCAGCCCCAGATATGTTTGGGATCTACTTCTAAGAATTACAGGGGCAGGATAGTGCCCGCAGCCCCAGATATGTTTGGGATCTACTTCTAAGAGTCACAGGGGCAGGATAGTGCACGCAGCTCCAGATATGTTTGGGATCTACTTCTAAGAGTCACAGGGGCAGGATAGTGCACGCAGCCCCAGATATGTTTGGGAACTACTTATACGACTTATCAGCCAAAGTTTTCAGGTGCCCAAAGCTGTGACGATAATCATGCCTCTCAGTAATGGACCTTCAGTAATATAATAAGTATAACCCAAACATTAAATAAAAGACAGACCTACTGGCATGAAAATCTGAGCACCCAACTACATCCAGCGCCCCCCCCCCTTTCCCAGCGTCACAAAGTGTCCCCCAGCGCCCACAGACCTGATTATTCAAATCACGATAAGATCACTAACTTAAAAGCTGTTTCAAGAAAGGCATATTAATAATAATATTAATAGCCTTTGTACTGATGTTTCTCCCCGTGAAGCGTGGAACAGGGGCTAAATTGTGGGTAGTGGGTCTGTGTATACTCAGACCACGGTCCTTCGGGGAATATGGAAATGTATGAAACAAAACATAAAGCAGACATTTATATAAGACTGTATAAGAAAACTCTTTTTATATAGGACACTGTATGTGTAGGACACCGAAGGAAACTGTATATGTAGGACACTGTATATGTAGGACACTGTCTATGTAGGACACTGTAGGAAACTGTATATGTAGGACACTGTATATGTAGGACACTGTATATGTAGGACACTGTATACGTATGACACTGTATATGTAGGACTCTGTATATGTAGACACTGTCTATGTAGGACACTGTATATGTAAGACAAGTTACATGTAGGACACTGTATATGTAGGACACTGTATATGTAGGACGCTGTATATGTAGGACACTGTATATCTGTATAATTATATTGCCCCCATGAACCAAAATCTTCTAATCTTAAGGTCGCAACAAACCATTGTCAAGGCGACCAGCATCTGGCCTGGATCCTTGTATCTGAAACACCTTAAGTCATGGCCCATCTTGGCATTTCCCCTGGTCAAGTTCTTCACGAGCGCACCATTAAGACAGCCCCATTCCTGCACAGGTAGACAAAATTCAGACTCCTGAAAATACACCACAGAATTCTTGCGCTGTCAGTGTTGTTACTTGGAGACAGACTGAGGGAAACTTCTAAAACAAAAACTTTTTAGAACATACGTGACAATGCTATGCCAATATTTTTAAGTCTCTGCTACACTGTGCCCTGTGCTGTCAAACACTGCTTCAAGTTAATTATCTACCTAAAAGTGTATCCAGGTATGTATAACAGTGTATCCAGATCTGAGAGTGGCAACCAGATCAAAATATAAGTGTATCCAGATTTATCTTACTGTGTATCCAGATCTATATAACAGTGCATCCAGATCTATGTAACAATGTATCCAGTTCTATCTAGCTATGTATCCAGATCTACATAACTGTATATCCAGGTCTATATAACAGTGTATCCAGATCTATATAACAGTGTATCTAGATCTATATAAGGGTGTATTCAGGCATATATATCGGTGTATCCAATTTTATCTAGTATTGTATCCAGATCTATCTAGCAATGTATCCAGATTTAACAGTATAACCAGATCTACATAACAGCGTATCCAGATCAATCTAACAGTGTATCCAGATCAATCTAACAGTGTATCCAGATCAATCTAACAGTGTATCCAGATCAATCTAACAGTGTATCCAGATCAATCTAACAGTGTATCCAGATCAATCTAACAGTGTATCCAGATCAATCTAACAGTGTATCCAGATCAATCTAACAGTGTATCCAGATCAATCTAACAGTGTATCCAGATCAATCTAACAGTGTATCCAGATCAATCTAACAGTGTATTTAGGTCTATATAACTGTGTATCTAATTATATCTAACAATACAGTCAACTCTGTCTAACATTGCATTCGGATATATTGAATGTTAATAGTATTTCCAGGTTTTTCTAAAAGTTTATCCAGATCTATCTAACAAGATATCCAGATCTAACATTGTAACCAGATCAAAATATAAGTGTATCCAGATCTATATAACAGTGTAACCAGATCTATATAACAGTGTAACCAGATCTATATAACAGTGTAACCAGATCTATATAACAGTGTAACCATATCTATATAACAGTGTATCCAGATCTATATAACAGTGTAACCAGATCTATATAACAGTGTAACCAGATCTATATAACAGTGTAACCAGATCTATATAACAGAGTATCCAGATCTATATAACAGTGTATCCCGATCTATTTGACATTGTATCCACGTCTGTGTAAAAGTTAACCCATGCCCAACCTAGAATTTAATCATATTAGGCGTAACCTAATGCTATTGGCAGGCTGATCTTTAATAATCTACTTACATATAATCTAACCTAAGTACTGGGGACGGGTAAAAGAGAGAGTGTTAAGGATCATTGTAGAGCCTTGCTAATGAAACATTTCCAGTTTCCAAACGAACATCCCTGACCACCGTGCCCGCTATTAATCCCTGTATCATGATAAACAGTAATGTTACCTTTCCTACCAAAGTCTACTTACGTCTCCTACCAAAGTCTACTGACGTCTGCTACCAAAGTCTTCTGACGTTTGCTACCAAAGTCTACTTACGTTTGCTACCAAAATCTAATTACGTTTGCTACCAAAGTCTACTGACGTTTGCTACCAAAATCTACTGACGTTTGCTACCAAGGTCTACTGACGTTTGCTACAAAAGTCTACTGACGTTTGCTACCAAAGTCTACTGACGTTTTCTACCAAAGTCTACTAACGTTTGCTACCAAAGTCTACTGACGTTTTCTACCAAAGTCTACTATACCAAAGTCTACTGACGTTTGCTACCAAAGTCTAGTGACGTTTGCCACCGAAGTCTACTATACCAAAGTCTACTGACCTTTGCTACCAAAGTCTACGTACGTTGCCTACCAAAGTCTAAATACGTTGCCTACCAAAGTCTAATTACGATGACTACCAAAGTCTACTGACGTTTCTTACCAATATCTTCTTACGTTTGCTACCAAAGTATACTTACTTTTGCTACCAACGTCTTCTTCTGAAAGCTAACCAGAATCAGGGCTGCTATCGCCATGGTAACACTCCCAACAGCAAGAAGACATTCCCTGTGAAATAAATGCACCTTTCAGGACACATCTACCAGGACATATCTCTCCTGACATTTATGCTGACGAATTTATCCCGAAACAGTTATCCCGACACATCTATCCTCAGAAATCTCCCGACAAATTCCCCCCCCCCCGACACATCAGTTATTTGGATGTTTAATTAGAAAAAAGCCTAACCAAGCCCATGTCAAGACCTTTCACAAGGGTTTAATTAGAAAAAAAATGCCCTACATTATTTGGAAGACTCCTCTGGACATACTTCTTGTCATAATAAGCTCGACGTCATTACGTCATGGAGGCGTGGTAAAACTGTAGAAATAGCAAGGATAAAAATAACTTTGTTGGCGTGTTGAAATGGAGGAGAGAAATCCCCCCTACCCCCGCCTCTTACATGTGCCTCAGAAGGGATTGCCTGGCAATGTTAGGTGAGGGATTGCCTGGCAATGTTAGGTGAGGGATTGCCTGGCAATGTTAGGTGAGGGATTGCCTGGTAATTTTTGGTGAAGAATTGCCTGGTGCGAAAGAACTATTGCCCGGTAATGATATGTGAGGGATTTCCTGGTGGTGTCAGTTAAGGGATTGCGCTGTGATAAAAGAGGAGGGATCACCCGGTGATGTTAGACGTTGATATTGGGGAAATCTGAAAATGTATTGTTTTTGTGACACAATTTTTTAAAACATTTTTTTTTGGGGGGAGGGGGGTGGTGGGAGGAGGCGAGTAGGGGAAAAGGAATGCTGATATCATTGTGTTGTTCAATCTTTGTATGATGTTATCAATGGCAGCTTATCTCGTGGCGAGTAACAAGTTATTTAGTCGTCCCGTCATGCACCGCGACTGCATCTCGTATTGGTGGAAGATAACGTGGTATCGCATGACGTCATCACTGGTTCATTGGCCTTTTAAATGGATGTCGAGGATACGTTTTGGAACCAGGGCTTTGTAGCGGAGCTCTAGACCAGGGTCTTTTTGTAGCGGAGCTCTAGACCAGGGTCTTTTTGTAGCGGAGCTCTAGACCAGGGTCTTTTTGTAGCGGAGCTCTAGACCAGGGTCTTTTTGTAGCGGAGCTCTAGACCAGGGTCTTTTTGTTTTGAAGCTGTTGACCAGGGTCTTTTTGTTTTGAAGCTGTTGACCAGGGTCGTTTTGTTTTGGAGCTGTTGGCCAGGGTCGTTTTGTTTGGAGCTGTGGGCCAGGGTCATTTTGTTTGAAGCTGTGGGCCAGGGTCATTTTGTTTGGAGCTGTGGGCCAGGGTCGTTTTGTTTGGAGCTGTTGACCAGGGTCGTTTTGTTTGGATTTGTGGGCCAGGGTCATTTTGTTTGGAGCTGTGGGCCAGTGTCTTTTTGTTTGGAGCTGTGGACCAGGGTCTTTTTGATTGGAGCTGTTGACCAGTATCTTTTTGATTGGAGCTGTGGACCAGGGTCTTTTTGATTGGAGCTGTTGACCAGTATCTTTTTGATTGGAGCTGTGGACCAGGGTCTTTTTGATTGGAGCTGTTGACCAGTATCTTTTTGATTGGAGCTGTGGACCAGCTGTTGACCAGTGTCTTTTTGTTTGGAGCTGTGGACCAGGGTCTTTTTGTTTGGAGCTGTTGACCAGTATCTTTTTGATTGGAGCTGTGGACCAGGGTCTTTTTGATTGGAGCTGTTGACCAGTATCTTTTTGATTGGAGCTGTGGACCAGGGTCTTTTTGATTGCAGCTTTGGACCAGGGTCTTTTTGATTGGAGCTGTTGACCAGTATCTTTTTCATTGGAGCTGTGGACCAGGGTCTTTTTGATTCGAGCTTTGGACCAGGGTCTTTTTGATTGGAGCTGTCGATCAGGGTCCTTTTGATTGGAGCTTTGGACCAGGGTCCTTTTGATTGGAGCTGTGGACCAGGGTCTTTTTGATTCGAGCTTTGGACCAGGATCTTTTTGATTGGAGCTGTGGACCATGGTCTACATTTAAATAATGCAGCGATAAGGATTTTAGAGCGAAACACCATGGTAAAATTTTGTTACAGTCCCAAAAGTAGTCCTTTGACCAACATTAAAGACAATTTAAGCGTGGCGTCAATTAGGCAACTGGATTTTTAAAACGTAAATTGTATCCTCATCAATTATGGGAACTGAAATCAATACGCGGGTCACTCGTCTGGAGAAGAGCTGACCAGCTGTGACAAATTGTACCTGCCTTAGGATTGGCTGAAACAAATGTGGATAGTTTGACATGCATCCCGATAAAAATCTCAGGTGTATTGACGCCTGCGCTTGCTGTTGGTTGACCGAGTGCACACTAGGTGTGCACAAAATAAAATGACAAGCAACTGCACAACAAAATAGACAATGAATTTCTGCTTATTAAAACAACATTTCCTGTTTGAACCGCATTCCATCGGGGCTCGAGAGTAAGGTAATAGTATATATAAATGCTTTTCTAGCGTTGGTATATTGTGTGATCGTAATTGTAATTTGTATTTATCGTAATCATAATTATAATTCTTATAGTGTTTAATTCACTATATATTTTGTAATAATAATGGGTGCTGGGTGGCCGAGTGGTCTAAACTGAGCAAATCTCAGGTTGGTGGTCTGGAGTTCAATTCCAGCTAGAGCAAAAACACCCCGGGTAGATGGGACTCGTTAACCTTGGACGGCAACTCATCTAAGAGAAGGAAACTCTGAAATCAAACCCGGAGATGGAGTCCCGAAAGGCGGATAACATTGATACAATGAAACATTCCGACAACTCCTGCGACGTCACTGGTGCCATCCCTTGGGTTACCCAGCGGCGTGGAGAGAGGCGATTTGCTGTTGGGAACCAGCTTATAATCCTTCAAGTATAATAATCCCAGGCTATGTGGATTTCGTCCTACGAAGCCCACTCCATCGTCACATTGGTGACGGACGGATGCCAGCAGTGTTTAATCATAAATTAGAATTTTTATATTTTCTTTTCATATTTTGAATTTGTATTTATTGCAATCGTTATTATAATTTTTAAACTGTGTGACCAAAATTTGAATTTGTATATTTTGTAATAATAATATGAATTTTTTAAAATTTTGTAATGATATTTAGAATTTGTATATTGTGTAATCGTAATTAGAACTTGTAGATTGCTTAATCATAATTATAATTTGTGTATTGTGTAATCATCATTAGGATTTATAGTGTTCTACCATAATTATAATTTATATTTTTTGTTATCATTATTAGAATTTGTTTACTGCGTAGTCATAATTAACATACACTCTTTTATTTACAAACATTGCGTGAGACTCGTGCATTTCATATCCTTAAGGAAATTTATTCATATGGTTTAAAAAAAAATGTTTTAAAATAAATTTTAAAAAAATATATATATATTTATATATTAATAAACACCCAAAAAGTCAAAGCTTACAGTAAACAACTTCAATACATAGAATAGGAATAGATTGATGCGCGCCCCCCCCCTCATCCTCCCCCTCCCCCTCCCCCCGGACCAACATCCACCCAACTTCCCAAAAGGTTGAAATGCTCTCGAGAAACAGAGGGACTCACCTGCTGCTCTGCTTTCAATATCTTAACACTAACACTACGGACAGTACTAACACATGAACACAACTAGTTGACTGAAATGGTAGGTTATATTTAGACATGACAACCTGATGACGTTATCACCCCTACTACCACCGTCGACAAGATAAATAAAAAATATTTAAAAAATATGACGGGAAGATTCACAGATTAATGGGTAAGCCAATAACACAGAATTGTGAACAGAAACAATGGGTTTGTGCACAGAAACAAGAGAATTCTGCACAGAAACATAGGGTTTGTTCACATAAATAAGTGGGCTGTGCACAGAAAAAGGGGTTAGTACAGAGGCATAAGAGGTTTTTACACAGAAATAAGTGGGTTGTGCACAGAAATATCGGGCTTGAACTAAGATATGTGTCGTGCCAACTGTTGATGTGTCGTGCCAACTGTTAATGTGTCATGCCAACTGCTGATGTGTAATGCCAACTATTGACGTGTCGTATCAACTGCTAATGTGTCATGCCAACTGCTAATGTGTCATGCCAACTGTTGATGTGTCGTGTCATCGCTAATGTGTCACGTTTTATTTTCTTTTTCCCTTGTCTCGTTCCACCTGTTTTCGTTTAGAGCTCCAACATTATATTTCATTTGACATTCATTTCAAGACACATTTGGTGAACTGTACAAAGTAAACGATGCACTTTCTGATTTAGGACACATTTGGTGGACTGTACAAAGTAAACGATGCACTCTCTGATTTAGGACACATTTGGTGGACTGTACAAAGTAAACGATGCACTCTCTGAGTTAGGACACATTTGGTGGACTGTACAAAGTAAACGATGCACTCTCTGAGTTAGTACACATTTGGTGGACTGTACAAAGTAAACGATGCACTCTCTGAGTTAGGACACATTTGGTGGACAGTACAAAGTAAACGATGCACTCTCTGATTTAGGACACATTTGGTGGTCTGTACAAAGAAAACGATGCACTCTCTGTGAACGAGAGAGGAAAAAACAACAGACAAGGCGTTGAGTGTCAACACATCTCCGTTTATTCCTCATAAATTCCCTGTCAACATATCTCCGTTTATTCCTCATAAATTCCCTGTCAACATATCTCCGTTTATTCCTCATAAATTCCCTGTCAACATATCTCCGTTTATTCCTCATACATTCCCTGTATAAAAATGTCCGTTATAAAGGCTAGATTGTTTAATGTCATCAAATACATATAACATTTAAAATTAATTTATTCATAATGTAAGTGTTTGAATGTCTCTCTCTTCCCCCCTGTCTACACTCTCTCTCCCTTCTTCTCTTTTTCTCCCCTCCTCTCTCTCTTTCTGTACCCCTCTCTCTTTCCCTCTCTCTTTCTCCCTCTCTCTCCCCTCCTCTCTGTCTCATTCCCTCTCTCTACCCCTCTCTCTCTCTCTCTCTCTCTCTCTATACATATATATATATATTATATACGCACAAGGCTCTAACTATAATATATGAAGTTAGAAGAACCTTGATAGACACTGATCATTGGTAATTTGAGCAATCAACAAATATTCCTAAATCACATTTGAAATTCTTCATGTGACTGTATGCAACTTTTGCAATGCAAACATGGACACTTAACATACATCAATGTATGGTGATTTAAATCTGTCCATGGCTTCTTCACTCTATCTGATTGTGACAAGTGACACAGTCAAACTAATATAATCATCCTGAACGTGAAACGGTCCAGAACATGAGTGAGTTTAAATAATAATAATAATAATAATAATAAAGTTCATTTCAAAAACACGCTTCATCCCCAAAGGCTCGAAGCGCGGTACAAAGTCAACAAAAAACATATCTATAATTTGCCACATTTAAAACAAACACAACACTACAAAAACTAATTACAAGCATACAATCTCAAAGTCTTTCTAGCCATTTCAACCCGGAGCAACACAGCCATTATGCATTAATCAAATCCAAGCTAATGGCACATTTCTACAATAGCAGGCACTTAACAAAACAAAAAAAATTCTCTGCCACATCAAAACATCTTCTATAGTATCAGGCACTTAACGAACCATTCCCTAGCCACACCATCTTCTACAATAGCAGGCACTTAACGAACCATTCCCTAGCCACACCATCTTCTACAATAGCAGGCACTTAACGAACCATTCCCTAGCCACACCATCTTCTACAATAGCAGGCAATTAACGAACCATTCCCTAGCCACACCATCTTCTACAATAGCAGGCACTTAACGAACCATTCCCTAGCCACACCATCTTCTACAATAGCAGGCACTTAACGAACCATTCCCTAGCCACACCATCTTCTACAATAGCAGGCACTTAACGAACCATTCCCTAGCCACACCATCTTCTACAATAGCAGGCACTTAACGAACCATTCCCTAGCCACACCATCTTCTACAATAGCAGGCAATTAACGAACCATTCCCTAGCCACACCATCTTCTACAATAGCAGGCAATTAACGAACCATTCCCTAGCCACACCATCTTCTATAGTATCAGGCACTTAACGAACCATTCCCTAGCCACACCATCTTCTACAATAGCAGGCACTTAACGAGCCATTCCCTGCCACACCACAACACCTTCTCCAATAGCAGGAATTCGTTGCTAAGCGTGTACTCCCACACCACACGACACTGGCTAGTTTTTGCTTTTCAGGTCAACAATAACCCACCCCATCCCCAATAAAACACCCTCTAACTACTAAAGCAGCCACCCTTAAAACACCCCTACTGAAACACCCTCAAGGCTTTAAAACACCATAGAACCACTCAACACCCTCAAGCCACTAGAACATCATATAGCCACTAAAACACCCCTCTACTACCACCGTCCCCCTAAACTCACAAAAATGTTCTCTTGAGGGCCTGAGATTACTCTTTTATGACCCCGGCTTGTACATTGGCTACCAGCCCCATCTGCTGGGCTCTGCCGTTGAACATTTCCCTCGTGTAGGTCTCTCAGGCCGCGCTTGCCTCCCTTGAAACGTTCGGTCATCAGATACCCTAGAGTTTCTGGGACCAGGCTGCAATGCCGGCATGTTGGGTCCTTGTTGTTTTTTTTAATCTAGATCTCCCTTCCACTATTTAACATCATCAGCCCTAAATAGCTGCTTCTCTCATCGAAGTAGATGACACCTTTTCCTGACACCATTACCTTGACAACATCACTAGCATTCAGCTGAAAGACGCCAGCTGAAACACATAATGGTGAATAATATATCCTCTGCTAACATGAGCTCAAAAAGGGATGGAAGTATTTTTACATGTGCTACAGCCAGTGCTTTTTTGTGTGCCGGTACGCACCGGTACGGCGTACCGGCACCTTTTTCAATGTGGGTAAAAAAATATTACTTTTCTTGTATTTTAACGTTTATTATTAATTTATTATATTATTAATCTGTTAAAATTGAATTATTTTAAAATTAGACATTTAGTATCTTTGCAGTTGTGATTTAGCTTGCATCGAGGTGCGAACTGGTCGTTAAAAGTTAGGCGATCCATCACTGAGTACCGGCACCTATTTTTTTTAGAAAAAAAGCACTGGCTACAACCATTAGTGTATGTACTTTAACCATTAGTGTATGTAACATAGTCATATGTGTATCTACAGCCGTTTGTGTATTATTACAACAATTTGTGTATGTAATACAACCATTTGTGTATGTAATACAACTATTTGTGTATGTAATACAACCATTTGTGTATGTAATACAACCATTTGTGTATGTAATACAACCATTTGTGTATGTAATACAACCATTTGTGTATGTAATACAACCATTTGTGTATGCAATATCAATATCGCTTTATGTGGTATGTAAAACCACAACTGGAGTACCGGTATGTAGTATTAGATATGGAGTGTGCAACAGTAAAATTAATGTGCACTACACGGATTGGTGTATAAAAATATAGCATTGCGTGTATGTTATTTAATCATTTGTGTATTTTTAACACAAGTCAAACTATGTATGATACACCAATTTGAGTATGTGATGAAGTTATATGTAATGGTAATGATAAGACTGATACCATCATTTTCTGCTATCTGCGCGCAGAGAGTAACCACTAAACTTAACAGGTAGTACCCACTTATCCTTAAAGGTAATACCCAATTCACCTAACACTTAGTACCAAAGTAAACTAACAGGTAGTACCCACTTAATCTAACAGGTAGTACCCCACTTAACCTAACAGGTAGTACCCACTTAACCTAACAGGTAGTACCCACTTAACCTAACATGTAGTACCCACTTAACCTAACAGGTAGTACCCACTTAACCTAACAGGTAGTACCAACTCAACATAACAGGTAGTACCAACTCAACCTATCAGGTAGTACCAACTCAATCTAACATGTAGTACCAACTCAACCTGACAGGTAGTACCCACTTAAACTAACAGGTAGTACCCACTTAACCTAACAGGTAGCACCCACTTAACCTAACAGGTAGCACCAACTCAACCTATCAGGTAGTACCAACTCAACCTAACAGGTAGTACCAACTCAACCTGACAGTTAGTACCCACTTAACATAGCAGTAGTACCCAATTAACCTTAGAGGTAGTACCAACTCAACCTAACAGGAAGTACACACTTAACCTAACAGGCAGTACCCGATTAACCTTAGAGGTAGTACCAACTTAACCTAACAGGTAGTACTCAGCGTAACAGGAAGTACACACTTAACCTAACAGGTAGTATTCACGTAGCCTAATATGAAAGCTTTCAGGCTTCCAATGTTAAAATCCACAACTCAAGAAACTTAAAATTTGACACATTAATCCTGGCAGGCAAGCAGGTTAACAAGTGTCTCTAGCCCTGCAGCCTGTCTAAGAGGTGTTCATCTTCCCAGGTGTACGAAATATTTCTTACCTGTTTAAAAGATTGCCCTCTTACCAGGTGTGCAATATTTTTTTTACCTGTATAATAGGTTGCCCTCTCATCAGATGTGCAATACATTTCTTACCTTTATGGTAGGTGGCCCTCTCACCAGGCGTGCAATAATGCAATATTTCCTTACCTACATAATAAGTGCCCCTCTCAGCAGGTGTGCAGTACATTTCTTACCTGCATAAGAGGTGGCCCTTTCCCTAATGCAATTTTCACAGCATGTGTGGACGGCTTCCATCATGCTCATTTCAGAGTTAGTCCCGCTCTTTCTCTTCACGGACAGTGTCCACGTCATGTGCTGTGAATAAAACAAGTCACATGGGATGGGAACAGGAGCACGAGAGGGAGTCTCAGGCATTGGATGCTGCGAGGGAGGGGGGGGTATGAGAGAGGGTAATTGGTATAGAGGGTGTATACAATGAGGTTTATATATATATATATATATATATATATATATATATATATTAATTTTTAAAAAAATAACTTTTACTTTTTGACTACGCCTTCCACATTTGTTGAAATATTTAAATGATCTGTTTGTATCAAATATAAATGTATATGTGGTTTTGCGATTTCTAAGAGGAACGCTGTGAAGAAGCGAAATGGACAGTAGCCGCACTTTTGTTCTGTATTAATAAAAACAAACTGGAAGTATGACCTCATAACTATGAAAGAGTTGTAAGAATTTGCCTAAATATAATTTGAAAAAAAAATTCTTGAGAGTAGGTAGCATTTTGCAAATCAAATTTTCACTCCAAGTTCATTAAAGTAAACATTGACATCCCATTATACTAAGTCAAATTAAACATCGACACCCCAATATACTAAGGCTACGCAAACATCGACACCCCATTATATTAAGTCAAATTAAACATCGACACCCCATTATATTAAGTCAAATTAAACATCAACACCCCATTATATTAAGTCAAATTAAACATCGACACCCCATTATACTAAGGCTAAGCAATCATCGACACCCCATTATACTAAGGCTAAGCAAACATCGACACCCCATTATATTAAGTCAAATTAAACATCGACACCCCATTATACTAAGGCTAAGCAAACATCGACACCCCGTTATATTAAGACTTAGCAAACGTTGACATCCCCATTCAACTAAGACTTAGCAAATGTTGACATCCCCATTCAACAAAGTCTTTGTAAATATCGACATCCTATTCAACTAAGACTTAGCAAACGTTGACATCCCCATTCAACTAAGACTTTGTAAACACTATATAATTATGTTAAGCTTTCCAACTAATTAAGCACAACTGGTTATAATAGCTCGCCAGACATTTTCGACAACAATGCGCGAACTTCCCATCTGATAAAGTTACTTGACAAAACATGAACTCAAGTACTGTAAGGCACATTTAAGAATCCACAATTTTTGCAACACCCCTTCTGCCCCATGGTACGTCACCGCCACACTGTTCACGTCACGCCCCATGAACTGTATTACTACTCTGAGTGTCTTAGCCACTTTTAAACCGAATGTTTATTAAAAAGTATTTAAATTGAAACGATTTTCCGAAAAGAAAATATTACGCACCAATCGCAGTTGAGTTATTTTAAAAATAAATCATTTAGCATAGTAATCGGGAATTATATTTTGCGCGCTATCCGGAAATAGAAGCAGCCACACCACAAGCATAATATATATAAGATATGATTACCCCCCCCCCACACACACACCTCCGTTTTCCGGTAGAAACAACACTGGTGTGTTAGCGAGTATCTGCCAGAAATCATTTTGTTCTAAATTCTAAACATTGGCAGGATAATTTCAACTTTTGAAGTTACATTTCCCACGGCACACTGCAATCTTAACCTACATACAAATGCTGGACATTAGACGACGTTTTCACCTTTTACCGGACACCAGACAATAATTTCCCCCATTTTAGCTGGACATGAGATAACAAACTCACTTCCGGGTTGGATGTTGGACAGGGTCTCGAGCTGTTGGCTCTGAAGTAAACACTGCAGTAGACAAAGTAGGACCCTCCCGAACCGATGTTGACAAAGCCGTTGGCGTCGACTGCCAGGCTCTGCGAGTGACTCCCCTGTTTCTGCATCTCCATCCGAAGCACCTTATCATTGGTATCATTGCTGCTGTCTAAAGAAGAAGACAGTGACGCAAGAAATCAGCGGGAAACTTGACGGGAAATTACTCCAAGTTTGGGTTATTGTGGCTCTCTGTACACTTTTTTTACACTGTACATGTACAACTTGTGAGGAGTATGACTTAGCTCCACATTTTTTTTTTTTTTTTGGTTTAGTATAAATCTTATCAAATTATTATTATTTTTTTTAAATTTTAAAGAAGATACCAATTTTTAAATTGTTTTAATCAGCGGGAAACGTGCCGGGAAATTACTCCAAGTTTGGGTTATTGTGGCTCTCTGTAAACTTTTTTTACACTGTACATGTACAACTTGTGAGGAGTATGACTTAGCTCCACATTTTTTTTTTTTTTTAGATTTAGTATAAATCTTATCAAATTATTATTATTTTTTTTAAATTATAAAGAAGATACCAATTTTTAAATTGTTTTAATCAATGGTTATAACTAACCCTCTAATGCAATGCTGATACATTTGTATAGCTGTATGAGGTCAAGGTTATTTGACCGTCTTCCGAACGAGGCTGGGCATCGTGGCTATTGTGGCATTGTCCGATGTTGAAACGAAGCCTCAAGTAAATAATTTTGTCTTGTAAGACGTGTCTTGTCCCACGGATAGACATGTGGGACAAGCAACGTCATATATCTTATGTAATATATATTCAATTTTTCCGAAAGTGACGTCACACTTATTCAACGATTTCGGAGGTGACGTCACACATAACATCAACGATTCCGAAAGTGACGTCACACATACTCAATGATTCTGGAAAACGAACGTCACGCGTGTTCAATAATTCTGGAGGGCGACCTCACATATAATCAATGATTCCGGATATTAATCATATTTTGAATCTTATTTTTCTACGTTTTAAGATTTTTTACTTTTTGGGCATCCTTCCACTTTAGGGATAAAATTGCGTGGCTATCCTCGAGATTGCGAAAATCATACGGCCTGGGATTTGATTCAGGAAAAAAGGAATTTGTTTCCAGTTGGCAGACGTCCTCATCCCAATTGAACATCTAGTGGACGATACAGCTCGGCAACTGATTGGATTTCCATTGCGTCGATGTCGCACGGCCTACGGGACTCCAACTTCAGATTTTTTAATTTTTTTTTTATGTTTGGGTTCGCCTTACCTTTGTTTTACCATGGGTTTGTAGCTGCAATGCATTGTGGGCTGAATTATGATCTGATGCCCGGTGTAAATGTGCACATTAATATTGCGTCTAAATGTGCACCAGCATATTACATCTAATTGTGCACGCACATATTACATCTAAATGTGCACATGAATATTAAAATCTAAAGATGCACATGCCTAATACATCTAAATGTGCACATGAATATTACAATCAAAATATGTACATAAGATCACTGTGTAAATGTGTTAATGTACGCACCTGGAATGAGTTGAAAGTGCCCGGATGTCTCACTAAAAAATTTGAGTCTCTCTGAAATAGAGCGAAAGAAGACAAACTAGGACGTCGTCCTCAGTGTGAAAGAAGACAAAGTATGACGTCGTCCTCAGTGTGAAAGAAGACAAAGTATGACGTCGTCCTCAGTAAGGTTATTCACACTCAAAACTGATGAGCAAAATAATTGACTCATAATCCGTAAACATCAATTTCACCACTTGATATTAAAGATCATCAAAAATACAGAATGTGCCAACAAAATAACAGTACTGAGGGTACAGCATCTTGAACCTTTACTTGCGATTGTCAACGGTGGGTCGACCCAGCTGCCACGTTACCATAGAAGTAAAAAGGATTAAACACTGGGCAGTTGTTGGAGACCAGTCTTTTTCAGGAGGGGAAAAAACTATTTGTGGTTGAGCCACATTTTCGCTCATGCGTTAATGAGCGTAAAGGGTGACATGCGTTAATGAACGTAAAGGGTGACATGCGTTAATGAGCGTAAAGGGTGACATGCATTAATGAATGTAAAGGGTGACATGCGTTAATGAACGTAAAGGGTGACACACGTTAATGAACGTAAAGGGTAACACACGTTATTGAACGTAAAGGGTGACACGCGTTAATGAACGTAAAGGGTGACACGCGTTAATGAACGTAAAGGGTGACATGCGTTAATGAGCGTAAAGGGTGACATGCGTTAATGAACGTAAAGGGTGACATGCGTTAATGAGCGTAAAGGGTGACATGCGTTAATGAGCGTAAAGGGTGACATGCGTTAATGAACGTAAAGGGTGACATGCGTTAATGAGCGTAAAGGGTGACATGCGTTAATGAGCGTAAAGGGTGACATGCGTTAATGAACGTAAAGGGTGACATGCGTTAATGAGCGTAAAGGGTGACATGCGTTAATGAGCGTAAAGGGTGACATGCGTTAATGAACGTAAAGGGTGACATGCGTTAATGAGCGTAAAGGGTGACATGCGTTAATGAGCGTAAAGGGTGACATGCGTTAATGAACGTAAAGGGTGACATGCGTTAATGAGCGTAAAGGGTGACATGCGTTAATGAGCGTAAAGGGTGACATGCGTTAATGAACGTAAAGGGTGACATGCGTTAATGAACGTAAAGGGTAACACACGTTAATGAACGTAAAGGGTGATATGCGTTAATGAACGTAAAGGGTGATATGCGTTAATGAACGTAAAGGGTGGTATGCGTTAATGAACGTAAAGGGTGATATGCGTTAATGAACGTAAAGGGTGATATGCATTATTTAACGTAAAGGGTGACATGCGTTAATGAACGTAAAGGTGACATACGGTAGTGAACGTAAAGGTGACATGTTAGTGAAGGTAAAGGTGACACGTTGGTAAGCGTAAGGGTGACACACGTTTAGTGAAAGTAAAAGGGGCATATGTTTAGAAAACGTAAAGGTGGCATTACGTTAGTGAGCGTAGAGGGAGACCATGTTTGAAAATAGATGACAGAACACTCCGAGAGAGAGAGAGATTAAAAACAAGATGAGACCAAGCAACACTTTTCAGGAAAAGTGAACTGTCAACGGAAAGGGAACGTCAGATCGCCATGCTGGTGAATGGGAATTTCGTCTGTTCACCGCTCATTCCTATACAAATTTTGATCCTCGTACACTATAGAGAGAGATTGTCCCACTATTCTTGCTCGCGTATCTCTGGCCCCGCGAAGCGTTGTTCAACCTGTATCCAACTTGAACATGCAGCGTAAAATACAGGCGAACGGACTTGCTGCAGATGTACTCGGGCTTAAAGGAGGGGGAAAAAAGGGGGTGGGGTTGTTTGGGAGGAGGGCACTAAAAGCTCGATACACTAGCTCGACGGTCGGCTGATGCCACTTCCTGGCTCGTTGACGTCACTGCCTGGCTTGCTGACGCCATTTCCCGGCTCGCTGACGCCATTTCCTAATGAACATTTTCAATAGCTGATGTTCAGTTTGAAACATTCTCTTTGACGTCTTTGCGGGGGTTTGAGCCCAGCACTTTCTGGTAAACGCGGACTTGATTCTCACTGTCGAACAACTCACTGGTCGATGAGATCTTCTCTTCCGCTTGACAAACGTCACTTCCGTAACGGGGAAATTTCCTTCCGATATGCGGCATAAAGCGTATCTACTTATGTAGACCTACGTACAACGCGTTCAAGATGCGGGAATTTTATTGTTGTTAATTTGACGCAGACTGTTAATATAACAAGCAATTCATTTGGAAAATTTCCTTCTTAATATGAAATTAAAAACGAAACCTACTCTTATGACATATTTACATGTATATATATTTTTTATGTCTGTATATATATACAGACATAAAAAATATATATATACATGTAAATATGTCATAAGAGTAGGTTTCGTTTTTAATTTCATATTAAAGAAGGAAATTTTCCAAAATGAATTGCTTGTTATATTAACATGATATATATTTATCATGAATAATTTGTAATGCTTAAATAAATTATCCATTAAGCATTCATTGATCATTCATTAAAGATCCATGGATCAACCATTAAGTATTAATGAATCATCCATTAAGCCTCTATGGAATATCTACTCACCTATAGCTTGGTCACGTTGTGACAGACCCTACAACAATAAATTGGGAAATTTCACTGTTAAAACTTTTGTGTACACAATTAATACATGATTTTTAAAGCAGATTTGTGTACAATATTCACCATATTTGTACATCGATTTCAGTCTTCTTTTTGTACATTATTTTAAACACCATATTTGTACATAATTTTTGACAATATTCATGCATACTTTTTTATTACACCAAATTTTTACATTTTTATGCATCTACTTTTTTAATTATCTCTATCTAGTTTAGCTTAAAAATAACTTCACAAAATAGATTTCAAACATTTATAGCTATTCAGAAATAATGCTGACTTTGTAGTTTTTTTAACTTTATTATCTTTTGAGAGGTTCATTTACCAAAACTCACTTTGTGAATCTTTACTTTCCCTACCATATTCATTTACCAGAACTCTCTCATCGAATGTTTACTTTCCCTACCACATTCATTTACCAGAACTCACTTTATGAATCTTTACTTTCCCTACCATATTTATTTACCAGAACTCTCTCATCGAATGTTTACTTTCCCTACCACATTCATTTACCAGAACTCACTTTGTGAATCTTTACTTTCCCTACCATATTCATTTACCAGAACTCTCTCATCGAATGTTTACTTTCCCTACCACATTCATTTACCAGAACTCACTTTGTGAATCTTTACTTTCCCTACCATATTCATTTACCAGAACTCACTTTGTGAATCTTTACTTTCCCTACCATATTCATTTACCAGAACTCACTTTGTGAATCTTTACTTTACCAAACATATTTATTTACCAGAACTCACTTTGTGAATCTTTACTTTCCCTACCATATTTATTTACCAGAACTCACTTTTTGAATCTTTACTTTCCCTACCACATTCATTTACCAGAACTCACATTGTGAATCTTTACTTTCCCTACCATATTCATTTACCAGAACTCACTTTGTGAATCTTTACTTTCCCTACCATATTCATTTACCAGAACTCACTTTGTGAATCTTTACTTTACCAAACATATTTATTTACCAGAACTCACTTTGTGAATCTTTACTTTCCCTACCATATTTATTTACCAGAACTCACTTTGTGAATCTTTACTTTCCCTACCACATTCATTTACCAGAACTCACTTTGTGAATCTTTACTTTCCCTACCATATTCATTTACCAGAACTCACTCTGTGAATCTTTACTTTCCCTACCATATTTATTTACCAGAACTCACTTTGTGAATCTTTACTTTCCCTACCATATTTATTTACCAGAACGCTCTCATCGAATGTTTACTTTCCCTACCATGGGTTCAATAAACCAGAACACACTTCTTGAATCTTTACTTTCCCAACCATGTTCATTAAACCAGAGCGCACTCTTTGAATCTTTCCTTTCCTTACCATGTTCATTAAACCAAACAATCCTTCAACAGAGTGGGCACAGCACTCTCCAGATTTGTTATTGTAAGCTATATCTTCTCGTTGAAAGTTCCCAGCTCCCGGGCACTCGATGCAAACTTCTTTAGTACTCTGGAGAAGGACATTAGTATTTTAAACTTGTCAGTAGGAGTCTAGCATAAGGTTGTCGTCACGGTAATACAATACTCGCAAAGAATATATTATATAAATCTGTAGAGTAAGTTGAATATTCATATTCTATATCTGCATATTACTTTAATAGTGATGGTACATAGAAACGGAGTACTTTCAATCGTAATGTTATAGATCTACAGAGCACTTTCAACAGTAATACGTTATATCTATATTATACTTTCAATTGCCATGCTTTATATCTACAGAGTATTTTCAACAGTAATGTTCTTTATCTAAAGAGAACTTTCAATTGCAATGTTCTATTTCTACAGAGTAATTTCAATGGTCAAGTTCTATATCTACAGAGTAGATTTAATAGGTATGTTCTTTATCTATAGAGTACTTTTAATGGCCATGTTCTATATCTACAGAGTACTTTAAATGGTCATGTTCTATATCTACAGAGTACTTTAAATGGTCATGTTCTATATCTACAGAGTACTTTAAATGGTCATGTTCTATATCTACAGAGTACTTTAAATGGTCATGTTCTTTATCTACAGAGTACTTTTAATGGCCATGTTCTATATCTACAGAGTACTTTTAATGGTCATGTTCTATATCTACAGAGTACTTTAAATGGTCATGTTCTTTATCTACAGAGTGCAATTAATGGCCATGTTTTATATCTACAGAGTACTTTTAATGGCCATGTTCTATATCTACAGAGTACTTTTAATGGCCATGTTCTATATCTACAGAGTACTTTTAATGGTCATGTTCTATATCTACAGAGTACTTTAAATGGTCATGTTCTATATCTACAGAGTACTTTAAATGGTCATGTTCTATATCTACAGAGTACTTTAAATGGTCATGTTCTATATCTACAGAGTACTTTAAATGGTCATGTTCTTTATCTACAGAGTACTTTTAATGGCCATGTTCTATATCTACAGAGTACTTTTAATGGTCATGTTCTATATCTACAGAGTACTTTAAATGGTCATGTTCTTTATCTACAGAGTGCAATTAATGGCCATGTTTTATATCTACAGAGTACTTTTAATGGCCATGTTCTATATCTACAGAGTACTTTTAATGGCCATGTTCTATATCTACAGAGTACTTTTAATGGCCATGATCTATATCTACAGAGTACTTTAAATGGTCATGTTCTTTATCTACAGAGTACTTTTAATGGTCATGTTCTATATCTACAGAGTACTTTTAATGGCCATGTTCTGTATCTACAGAGTACTTTTAATGGCCATGTTCTGTATCTACAGAGTACTTTTAATGGTCATGTTCTATATCTACAGAGTACTTTAAATGGTCATGTTCTATATATCCTGAATGTATGTAACTAAACACCACCACCAGTTTCCCGATATCTCCTCACAGACCTGATCAACCCTTGTAGTTTATTTTTTTTTTTACACTTGAAGGGTTTTAACAATATATTACAGTTTTACCATCATATCAAAGTTTTAACATCCTATTGCAGTTCAACCATCATATCAAAGTTTTACCATCAAATTACAGTTTTACCATCCTATTACAGTTTTAACATCCTATTACAGTTTTATCAGCATATACCAGTTTTACCCTCATATCAAAGTTTTACCATCATATTACAGTTTTACCATCATGATACAGTTTTACCATCATATCAAAGTTATTTCATCATATCAAAGCTTTACCATCATATCAAAGTTATTCCATCATATCAAAGTTTTACCATCATATCAAAGTATTACCATCATATCAAAGTTATTCCATCATATCAAAGTATTACCTGTACATTTGAGGCAGGTGGTGCAGCTAGAAGAAATCTTAACCTGTATGCCACAAAAGCCACGCACACCAAGTTCAGCAGAAGGGACAGAACTCCGACCAGACAGCTCGCAATGTTCCTAAATGGGGCAAAGTTTTCATTGAAAGGCATTTAATCTTTTAAACGGACATTTTGACTATTCCGGAATGTGCCAAGAAAAAGGTCTAAATAAAACAAAATGATCAAAACGAAAATTACAGCAACAAAAAATATATCAGTATACTGTTCACTGCTAGGCAATAGTCGTCATGTTGTTCTGTGCTAGGCAATAGTCGGCAATGGTGTTCTGTGCTAGGAAATAGTCGGCATATTGTTCTGTGCTAGGAAATAGTCGGCATGTTGCTCATTGCTACGAAATAGTCGTCATGTTGTTCTTTGCTAGGCAGTAGTCGGCATTTTGTTCTGTGCTAGGCCATAGTCAGATTTACTCAACAAGACTCCTAGCGACAGAAAGAAGAATCAAAAACTTAATTTCTTCTTCTTTGGAAATCCTTATTTTATTTGAGGCATCATTTTAATGTCAATGTAATGGCATCATGTTAATATTATGATCGCATCCTCAAGAAACTAGTATTTTGGTGCATGTCGGACATAATTGGACTTGACCCCCCCCCCCACCCTTACCGTCGCCTCGTGCCTGCGTGCCGACCCACTGACCGCGTACAAGGTCACATGGTTCAATAATGCGAGATGCCAACATCCTGCCGTCAAATTGAATAGTTTATTTATTGGGGCACTTCAAATTTCTTATGAAGGAATTATAAAAAAACAAACATTTAACATTAACTACCTATTTGTTCGGATATGAGAAGCAAAGTGAGGGGAAAAACTGGACACAAAGTCAAATTTTGAATCGGTTAATCGAAGATCTGCTAAACCTTCTACCATCAAAGATATGACGCGTCTTAGATTTAAAATGAAATAAAGCAAAGTTAAAATTTCGCTCATAGGCGTCGACAACAATAGATCAATTTTTACCACACAAAAAAGGTGAACTATGTGTTCTGAAACAATTCACAATTTGACTCAATTTTTGATCATGAAAACAAATAATTCCTCTTCACTAACTACTCACCACTAACTACTCTCCCTTACCTACTCACCATTTTGCCAACCTATTTCGACGTGGCATTTTTGAGGCGAGAGGAAACTCTATCAATTCTTCGAGGCTTCCCAGGCGCTAGGGTCCAAGGCACTAGCCCCAGGCGCTAGGGTCCAAGGCACTAGGCCGAGGCGCTATAATCCAAGACACTAGCCCCAGGCGCTAGTCCAATGCACCAGTCAGCTTTTTAAAAAAAAACTATAAATAAAAAGAAATGTTAATTACATTATTTTAACGACATTTAAATGTTGCATGTAAAAAAAAAGTCAATGAGTTATTTTTTTACGTACTTTTGAGTTGAGGTGATAATTGAAGGACTGCACTTAAGCTGAGTGAATGAAACAGTAGAGCGATGTACGTTGCAGCTTGAAGCAAAACACAGGACGATAAGACATGGAAGTTTCGGCGTAGAGCCTTCGTCGGCGAACAGGAATTGTAATTTTACTGTAATCTGAGTTGAGCCTTGTCTAACGTCCTTGATATTTGTTTGCCTTTTGATCAACTCCAGTTTCCGGTGCCACCGTTCATTTGAGTTACTCATTCGCAAACATTCATTTCCGTCACTACCATATGCTGGTAGCTCTTGTCTTGAGACGATGGCGTCGTCAGGCTTGACCTTTCAACCCTATCCACAGTGGATTTGTTCCCCCTAACTCCCCCCCCCCAGCCCCCGCCCACTCAAACCGTTTGATGATTCACTGCAGCAAAGTGTGTTATTAAAAAGTAATTTTAAAATCCTCTCTTCAATTTAACCCATATGTTTGCTTTTTGATCAACTCCAGTTTCCGGTGCCAGCGTTCATTTGAGTTACTCATTCGCAAACATTCATTTCCGGCACTTCCATATGCTGGTAGCTCTTGTCTTGAGACGATGGCGTCGTCAGGCTTGACCTTTCAACCCTATCCACAGTGGATTTGTTCCCCCTAACTCCCCCCCCCCCAGCCCCCGCCCACTCAAACCGTTTGATGATTCACTGCAGCAAAGTGTGTTATTAAAAAGTAATTTTAAAATCCTCTCTTCAATTTAACCCATGACTTGCCAAGCAATCAGCAGTGTACTATCAATACATTTAGAACTTCTGGCCTTAGTTTCTAGTACATTGAAAAAGAAGGGAAGCCAAAGATTCATAATTAAATAAAAGATATTCCAAAAAAAGATTTACATTGGTTCCGCGGATTCAGAACGAATTTCGGGACCCTACATGTTTGAGATCCGCTCAACAAAACAGACGGAGAAACCAGTAGTAATCTATTTTTAAAAAATCACCCCCCCCCCCAAACTAAACCCAAACAACATGTGTTAAAAAATGTTATCATTGCCACACAGGAAATCAATTTTTCCAGGAAATTCTGGTCACGTCAAAAAAAGATTTACATTGGTTCCGGGGATTCAGAACCAATTTCGGGACCCTACATGTTTGAGATCCGCCCAACAAAACAGACGGAGAAACCAGTAGTAATCTATTTTTAAAAAACCCCCCCCCCCCCCCAAACTAAACCCAAACAACATGTGTTAAAAAATGTTATCATTGGCACACAGGAAATCAATTTTTCCAGGAAATTCTGGTCACGGCCCGATTACCATGACCTACATCTGATTTTTCTGAACGTCTCAGTCTGTTGACTAGGCTGAAGGCACACTAACCTCATGGTTTCAGACCCTCACGTCAAGATCTTTCTTTTAAGTGTCCGGCTCCTTATAACCGAAATTAAACTATTTTATTACTCTTAATCAGCTTACTACACTATTATGGATAATCTTACTATGCCAACGGGATAATCTTACTACAGTATTAAGAATAATCTTACTACACAATACTGGATAATCTTACGAAACCTTTATGGATAATCTTACTACACTATGCTGGATATTTTCTGCAATATACTGGATAACCTTACTACTAGACTAAAATGGATAATCTTACGACACTATTATGAATAATCCTCTACACCAGTGTTTCCCAAACTTTTTTGTGCGTTGCCCCCCCCCCCCCCCCCAACCTAAGCCTTTCTAAGATTCGGATGCAGCCCCGCTCCCCAATGTGTCACATGATATAATTTTTAATATTCCAAAATAGGCTTGATCTCTGAAGAAAATTAAATGATTTTTTACAACACTTTTAACGAACGCTTATTTTATAATTTAACGATTCTCCTTTTAAAATTCAAGTTAAATCATAGAAGACAGTTGGATTTCAAAATCTAGACGGCTTATTTTTCGAATTACCCCCAAAACAATCAAATTCCCCCAGCCATGATTTTTATACCCGGTTATCTCTCAGGCTTATGAAATGGATAAGTTGGTCAGCTATAAATTTCAAAAGGACAAGTGGGTGAACTATACATTTCAGTAGACAAGTGGATCAACGTTAAATTTCAAATAGACAAGTAGGTCAACTGTAAACTTGAAATAGACAAGTTGGTCAACTACAGACTTGAAAGAGACATTTGAGTCACTTTACTCTTGAAATGGATAAAATGGTCAACTGTAAACTTGAAATTGACATGTTGGTCAAATGTAAACTTGAAATGGACATTTGAGTCACTGTAAACTTGAAATGAACAAGTGGGTCAACAGTAAACTGGAAATGGACAATTGGGTCAAAGATACTTTTGAAATGGACATGTGGATCAACTGTAAACTTGAAAATAGATCTTACATATACTTGTGGACATTTAAAAAAAAAAGAATTATTATGTTTAAAAAAAAACAATGGTAAGACCTTGGATACTTACAAGTTAGAGTTGTGGTGACCTCTCCGTGAGTGACTCTGGCCTTGTACCACGTTCACATTTGAACGCGACGAAACACAACACACATCCCCCTGTCACTGCAACGTTTCTGAACGTCCTAGTTATACAGAAGAAGTGTAGTGTATATATCTGACTGTAAGAAAGTTGGCCCAGTTACTCTGAAGTAGAGCTCCAGCAGTGGATCTCAAGCTGGCATTCTTTGAACCTTACCCAACATTTTTTACACCGTCTTACTAAAAAATTAGTTTATTTTTAAGACTTTTTTTCCCTCACAAGGAGTTCAGTCGTTTTCAAACTGCAGGTCGCGACCCCTTTGGGGGGTTGAAGGACCATTTCCTAGGGATCGCCAAAGACTATCGGAAATCACACATGCTCAGCAGTTATGAAGTAGCTACGAAAATAATTGTGTGAGGAACTGTATTAAAGGGTCGCGGCATTAGGAAAGTTGAGAACCACTGGTGTTAATTGACCAAGCATTTAGTTGAACTTGACCCCTGGGAATGAAATAATCGCAATCGATTTCGGCTGTATTTGATTGGCTGCTGGACGCCTTCTTGGCCACGTCATCACCAGACTAATGCTACTGCTGCTGCTATTTGCTTGGCCTCTGGTCCTTTTCTTGGCCATGTCATCACCAAATTAAAACTACTAATAATTAGCAATGAGAAATGTGACTTATCAGGGAAGGATAACATTGGTTCTCACCATATCCCCTGAAATCATGCATCGAAGCCAATAGGAAAGTGTGTTACTGTTTCCTCCCCTGTCCCCCCAATATTAACAACCCCCATATAAACACCGCATTGGTTAGGAATCCATTCTATAATTTATCCAAGCACGCATGTGAAATATAAATATAGATATAGTTCTGCTTTTTTTTTCCAAAAGAAAAACCAGAATCCTTTGTTTGATTTTTAAGTCATGGAGTTCGATTGAACAACAACAACACCGCCAATGAGACCAAAACTATTTAATAACAAAATTGTTACAGTTCCTTGAACATAACGATGATTGCAACAATGAAACATAAATAAAATATGAAGGCGTAATTTATTACTTGTGGGTAGGCCACATAACATAATAATAGTTGTTATTTACCAAATACACCCTCTGTAAGGATACTGTATTGTATAGCGACACAGTTACTGGGCTTGGCAGAAATTCATGAAATAATGGAGCTTGAAGGTACTGTTAAAAATCATTTCAACATTAATAAAATAATATTTTGTACAAATAATAATGTGTCCGGTAATACAATGGGTGTTTTTATAAGCCAAGCCAAGGGCGCAAATTTCTTTGAGCCGGGCAAGAATAAGCAAACCAAAACGCATTAGCATATCAAATTTATAGTAGTATGTGGACGTGGAGTAGTATGTGGAGTAGTATGTGCAGTAGTATGTGCTGTAGTATGTACAGTAGTGTGTACAGTGATATGTGTAGTAGTATGTAAAACAGTCTGTGAAGTAGTATTTAACAGCAGTCTGTACATTATTATGTGCAGTAGTATGTGGTGTAGTATATGACTGAGAAATTGCAGTAGTATGTACAGTAGTATATGAAACACTGCTGGTAGAGGTAAATTAAAACTCTCTTGTTTATCTTGAGAATATGTAGAGGACCAACAATTATCTCCGACATATTTAAGGGGTGTGATGCAGCAAGCATTTTTTAAGTTGCTTCCGAAAGCCACAGTTGAACAGATGTAACAATGTTACTACAGCTGTCTGCCGAGAGCCCCAGTTGGACAGATATAACAATGTTACAAAAGCTGTCTGCCGAGAGCCACAGTTGAACAGATGTAACAATGTTACAAAAGCTGTCTGCCGAGAGCCACAGTTGAACAGATGTAACAATGTTACAAAAGCTGTCTGCCGAGGGCCACAGTTGAACAGATGTAACAATGTTACAAAAGCTGTCTGCCGAGAGCCCCAGTTGATCAGATGTAACAATGTTACTAAAGCTGTCTCCGTTATCTTGTTGTGAAATAAAGCAGCTCGTGGTTGCCTTCCATTGTTATTGCATCAAGCTGTTATCTGTCCATTGCTATAGAAACAAGCTGCTGGTGATCTGTCCATTGTTATATGATGAAGCTCACTTGATTCACGTGCATCACAAAAATATTGCCCGTCTTTCCTTCCGTGGAGGGCACCAGGAAGGGGACGTTCAGTAGGATCATGAAGTTGGCCACTCCCAGTAGGAACACCAGCTGCATAGCCTGGAGCGCATCTTTGATGATGAAGATGACATTGGCATCTTCGTTGATGACATCCTGGTGAATCAGAGGACCATGTCGTTAGTAAGTACATGACCAATAGGTCACACGAGTGGATGGATGGTAGTGAGGCGGATGGCGATGTGGCTGGATGGCGATTTGGCTGGATGGTGATGTGCCTGGGTGGCGATTAGGCTGGATGGTGATGTGGCTGGATGGTGATGGAAGGAGGACGGTGATGAGGGTGTATTGTGATTAGGGTGTATTGTGATGAGGGTGTATGGTGATGGGGTGGATGTGATGGGGTGGATGGTGATGGGGTGAATGGTGATGTGGTGAATGGTGATGAGGTGGATGGTGATGGGGTGGATGGTGATGGAGTGGATGGTGATGGAGTGGATGGCGATGGAGTGGATGGCGATGGAGTGGATGGTGATGGGGTGGATGGTAATGGATTGGATGGTGATGTAGTGGATAGTGATGGAGTGGATGGGGATGGAGTGGATGATGATGAAGTGGATGGTGATGGAGTGGATGGTGATGGAGTGGATGTGATGGAGTGAATGGTGATGGGGTTGGATGGTAATGGAGTGGATGGTGATGGGGCTGGATGGTAATGAGTTCACGACAAGTTTTCGGGATGTGAAAGGGTGAAAAACGTTAAGTCCAGATCCATTGAAGAACACTCCAAAATTTTAATCTAGAACATGACCGACATTTCAAACAGATAAAGTGATAACTTGTATACAGGCAATGACTCTTGTTTACTCACAACACTGCTTGCTATGGCAAGAGGGTCTGATCCATGTCAGATGGGCTGGTCAAGGTCCGATGGATTTGGTCATGGTCAGATCGGCTGATCAAGGTCAGATGACATGGTCAAGGTCAGATGGCCCGAGCAAGGTGGGTCAGGTGGGTTGTAGGTGTCAGTCGGCCTGGTCAAGGAAAGATGTACTGTCAAGGTCAGATGTTATGTCCAAGTCAGAGGGGTTTGGTGAAGCTGGTGAATTCATTCGAATAGCCCAAGAAAAGAGCTCTAGAACACGGGCAAGTTGTCATAAAGTGTTTCCTACAGGGCCAATACACGTCCCGCACGTCAACGTCACTACAACACCCCCCCCCCCCAAAGTCCACTCACCCGCACTCGGACGATGCAACACGACGGAATCTCGGCACTCTCGTCCACGGTGGATTCCATGATGTGTACAACGACAGCAACACGCTGGCCAATCAGAGCATCTGTCAACGTAGGGTCGAGGAAAAGGTCAACATTCCNACAAATTAAAAAAAAAAATAATAATACTGGAGTTAATGTAGAAAAAGTAAAAGACAACAAAGTTAATGTTAAAAAATTTTACGGATTACAAAAGCTGCGATTCATACTCTAATTACAAAAAAAAAAAAAAAAAATATTTCTTAAAGCCGGAGATGATTTGAGTAAGGGAGAGAACTCATCAAATCATTATTTGCCGGGTTATCTAGAATTTCAATTAGTGTTCTTTTTAATAATGCGTTGCTAAATTGTAACCTCTTGTTCATTGATATGCGTTGTGCAAAGTTTACTTTTACTGCATGCCTTCACGTTCCCCCGCGTAAATTAGACAAATAAAAACGTCTGAATGAATATTGATATTATTTCATCACAAACACCCCAAATGCTTCATGATTTTTCCATTCTAAAAGCGTGTTAATGAACCAATGAGTTTGGTGATTGATCAATGTCATTAAGGTTACTGACCATGCAAGCCGCCATCGCTTACTGCTAAAATAAGTAACTGAACATACCAACGACCACATTTTACAAAACAAAAAAAATAGGTTACTGACTCTAAAAGCGGCCATCACGTACTGCCCAAATAGGTTACTGACTCTAAAAGCGGCGATCACTTACTGTCCAAATAGGTTACTGACTCTAAAAGCGGCCATCACTTACTGCCCAAATAGGTTACTGGCTCTAAAAGCGGCCATCACGTACTGCCCAAATAGGTTACTGACTCTGAAAGCGGCCATCACGTACTGCCCAAATAGGTTACTGACTCTGAAAGCGGCCATCACGTACTGCCCAAATAGGTTACTGACTCTAAAAGCGGCCATCACGTACTGCCCAAATAAGATACTGACTCTAAAAGCGGCCATCACGTACTGCCCAAATAGGTTACTGACTCTAAAAGCGGCCATCACGTACTGCCCAAATAGGTTACTGTCTCAACAAGCAAACCCCCCCCCCCCCACTCTTCCAGTAAAAAAAAATAGGCCCACTGGCACTACACGTAGTCATCCCCACTGCTAGCATTTGAGTTATGCAAATAGTGATGGTTACGAACACCGTGTCCGGTCCGGCAAGCTTCCCAGGAAACAAGAGATTCCGATGTATCGGGCTCGCTGGAAGATTTCTTGCCTCAAGGTGGCGTCGATCCTGTCCTTGGCTTGTTCAAACTGTGAGATTCTGACTGGGGAAACATGGCGATACGATTGCTGATCTAAATGACGTTTTTACTGAAATGTTTCAATAATGAAACTAAAACCCATGACCAAAAAAAAAAATAATATCAATGTCGTTATTTGAACCACTCTGTAAACCAAAGGAACAGTTTCTCTTTAATCACAATGGTCTTACCCACCACCCTTATTGGCACACATGCTTATCTTTAGTCATTGTTCCCCCCAAAAGATTTTTAAAAAAAAAATCTGGCAACTGTATTTCGTTGAACGTTGTTACTTTTCAATACGTTCATAAACTTTAAGGACATATTTTTTTTTAAAAATAGTTTAACGGAACAAACAAATTTCTTACATTTTACATTCAATAAATATTTCATTTTTTGCCCCCAAGAATAAAAAAAACAGTGAAATTTCCCGTTACAATATTTATTTTAATGGCTAGGCATAATTAAGTTATTTATAATTTATTTCACTGACTAAATATGATACGGTAGTTATTTACCTGGCAAGTACAAATACTGTTTATTTAACAGGCTAAGTGTAAATACAATGTTTATTTTACTGGTTTTAGTGTAAATACTGTTTATGTAACAGACTAAGCATAAATACGGCATTTATTTCATTGGTTAAATGTAAATACAAGGACGGAATTTGAAAGTACGAACTCTTTTGTATGTTGTTCGTTTCCATTTGTAAAAACCGTTTTTAATTATGTGCTTACTTCAATCATTAGCTGTTTAAGCAATGGGGACACACGTCCCTGGTTAGTTCATTCATTCTTCTTTTCAACGATTCCTAGATTAGATTTTGAGAATCATTATGTAATATAACTCTGCGTCTGACAAAGTCAGCTTGAAGGCAATCTCCATGAACATCTGCGTCTGACAAAGTCAGCTTGACGGGAAGCATACCGTTGCTACTGTCAGACACCTTCAACTTACCACAGATATTTTTGTGATGCACGAAGTCTTGTCCCTGACACGTCTTGTTGCAGTACCTGGCGATGCCGCACCGGGTGCACCTCTTGGCGGAGTAGCTTTCCCTGTGACACGTGGTGCACGTGCCCTTGAACTTGTTGATCTGGAGCTTCGCGAAGTTGGGGTTGTAGAGGGCCAAGGCCATTCCGGGCCAGGGGGTCTCAGTCAGCTGTGATGTCTGGGGAAATGGGTTCAATGGGCAGGAAATAACATTGGTTTGAAAGAGCAACAAAATGGTGTGACGGGGGGAAGGGGGGGGGGAAGGGGTTAAAACGTGGGCAGATGTTCGCATCGTGAAAAGTATGTATGTGACTCACCCATGAAGGCAAACAGTTCTCCCTAAGTTTGCCTGTATTTTTGTTTTATTTTTATAAGTGACAAATGTGTGACGAATATTGCGACAAATGTTGCTACAAATTTTGTGACAAACATGGGTACATTACACCCCTCACCCTTTTCCGAAATAAAATGAACATTATGCTGCGCGGCCGCGCAGTAATCTCACAGACGCCGCGCAGCAGTTTTGAGTATCCGCGCAGCAAATTTGAGTATCCGCGAAGCAGTTTTGAGTATCCGCGCAGCATTGTTGAGTATCCGCGCAGCAAATTTCCATGTAATTATGTGTTTGTGGGCTGTAAAATGTGGCACACACAAAAATTGATGCTGTAAAACTTTGCCCACAACTGTATAATTTTCCACACGAACCAGCAAACCTTAGAGGAACATTGCACTCCTCCCCCCACCCAATATCATCAAATAAATTAACAACATCAACAAGCAGTCCCAAAATGAATTATCAAGGGGCAAATAAACATCGGCCCAGTTCACATTCAGATTACAGAGGTCACCAAGAGTATGAAATGAAGTTAGTCCCTAATTATTATTTTTATTGATCCAGACAGCGGACAATACCATGTTAGGCGTAGCATTAGCCTTAGCATGTCACTAAAATATGATTCCAATTAACCCAACACTGGCAGCTACTAATTTGGCCTAGTGATTTCAATACATTTACCTCAAATTTAATTATTGTCATAACTGATTGAGTTTCTTGATTTCATAATATAAACTGATACATAATAATAGTTATTAATAGCATCCCATAGATCTATAGATTTAATAGTGTAAGTGAAAACGAATTCATGATTCTGTTAATGAGTTGTTAATGTTAAACTCAAAAGTTAAATTTAATATAATGTCTCATCCGATGTGTCCATTTAATTACAAACAGGTTACCTAAAATTCATACCTGAAGCTGAAAATTGTGTTCAAGAAATACAAAGTTTCATACTTACCTAAAACAAAAAACATTAAGGATCTTGTTGATCGGCTGTCCATTTCTTGCGAGATGTAAGACCAGGACTAGGACTACGACCTCCTCATTCATCAACTATGTCTTCAAATGCGTTGCTGGGTTGACCCAGATAGCTTCATAAAATAACGAACCCATAAAATCAACTACAATGAAATACAAGCACTACAATATCCACACACAAAAAAAATGAACGATAAAATTCACTTATATCCTGCTCCTGTAAGGTTAGAAAATGTATCACAAATCACTAGACACAGTTTCAGGTGTAGTCTTTTCGAAATTCTCATCTATTTGTCAGGCTGACGTAACGGGTTTTCAGTTTGAAACTTTGGGAATTTCCGAATCAGTTTTTTTTTTTTAAAGAGATAATTTCTTGCTACCGACAGTAGTATGCTGCACATACTTATTTCCTGATAGCATTAGGGGTCGTTTGCAAATTACGTAGCGCTAAAAGGGGGAAAACTAAATGACAGGCAGCTACAAACTAAACGACAAGGCAGCTACAAACTAAATGGCAGACAGCTACAAACTAAATGACAGGCAGCTACAAACTAAATGACAGGCAGCTACAAACTAAATGACAGGCAGCTACAAACTAAATGACAGGCATGCATCCGTTCTCTCATTAGAAAGAAAAATAAACATTGTTACCAACACACTTCTGTTTACCAGCATTTATTGCCTTCAGAAAGAATCTCACAATAAATGCTTTCACACCATGCAACGAACATGGTTGGTGCAAACATCAGTCCAGCAACGAATATGGTTGGTGCAAACATCAGTCCAGCAACGAACATGGTTGGTGCAAACATCAGTCCAGCAACGAATATGGTTGGTGCAAAGATCAGTCCAGCAACGAACATGGTTGGTGCAAACATCAGTCCAGCAACGAACATGGTTGGTGCAAACATCAGTCCAGCAACGAATATGGTTGGTGCAAAGATCAGTCCAGGAACGAACATGGTTGGTGCAAACATCAGTCCAGCAACAAACATGGTTGGTGCAAACATCAGTCCAGCAACAAACATGGTTGGTGCAAAGATCAGTCCAGCAACAAACATGATTGATGCAAACATCTGTCCAGCAACAAACATGGTTGGTGCAAACATCAGTCCAGCAACAAACATGGTTGGTGCAAACATCAGTCCAGCAACAAATATGGTCGGTGCAAACATCAGTCCAGCAACAAACATGGTTGGTGCAAACATCAGTCCAGCAACCAGCTTGTGGTTCTATATAATGGACAGTTCCTAAAGTTTAAAGAACTAAGCAACATTGCAAATAATATTTTCAAGTCTGTTCACTAATAAAAAAACAACATACAGTTTGCCTTGAACAAAAACTGAAGGGTGAGTCAAATAAATGAATAAGACTTGTGTAAATCTGGCAGAGTAAAACACATGACATAAAGATTCATGTTGAAGAGATTTACATTTTCCCATTTAATTGCATAACTGCCTGCTTGCCCCTTACTTCTTAATTCCATCAATCTTGCCAACAGTCTCCATGAGTTTTACTCTGCCAGATTTACACAAGTCTTATTCATTTATTTGACTCACCCTTCAGTTTTTGTTCAAGGCAAACTGTATGTTGTTTTTTTATTAGTGAACAGACTTGAAATTTTTTTTTTTTTTTAAACCAGAGGGAAAAATTTAAAACAGTCCGCAATATATATATATATATATATATAAATATCAATTAGCATGTGTATAACACAGACAATCCAATTTAAATTGAATAAAATGCACATAAAACACATATTAGCAAGGGAATAATACACAAACATAAAACAATAAGCATTGGAAAACACACATACATAACATTTAGCATGGAAGTAATAAACATAATTACACACATTAGCATAGAGATTAAAAATTGGTATTTACATGTTTATTAGCATGGAAATAAAAAAAAAACATTAAGAAGGAAATAACAGACATATACATCAATTACCATGGAAGTATCCAGCATAAATAAACAAATTAGCATAGAAATAATGCATAGTGTCTTCATATGCTAATAAGCATAAGAATAGCACACATGCGTACACCAATTAACATGGGAATAACATTCATACATAAACCAATTAGCATGGGCATGGGAGAACACACAAGCATATTCAAATAAACATGGAAATAATAAACATAGATACACCAATCGGCATGGAAATAATAAACATACATATTAGCTTGGGAAAAACAAACACACTAATACCCATTAGTTAGGATAGATATCAAAGTACACCAATTATTATGAAAATAATACAGTCATATACCAATTAGCATGGAGAAAGACAAAAACATATACCTATTTACTTGAAATAACAAACATACATATTAGAATGGGTATAACAAACAAATACATTAACACCCATATATACACCAATAAGCATGGAAAAAACAGACATACACACACACACAGATATATATATATATATATATATATATATATATATATATATATATATATATGGGAGCTAGAAGAATAAAATCTCACCAAATATANTATATATATATATCAATTAGCATTTGAATGATTCTCACACATACCAATTTACATTTAAAAAACACATATAAATACATCTATTTGCATCAGAATAATACACTTACATATAACAATTAGCATGGAGAAACACACACACATAAAAATTAGCCTAGAAGTGATAAACATAATTACACACATTAGCATAGGGATAAAAATTGGTAAATACATGTTTATTAGCATGGAAAAAAACCATACATAATAACATGGGAGAAACAAACACGTTTACATCAACTAGCATGGAAATATCCAACATACAAAAAAAAATTAGCAAGGAAATTAATAGATTCATAGACAATAAGCGTAAGAATGCATGTATACACCAATGAACATGGGAATATTATTTATATACTAATTGGCATGGAAATAGCTCACAAATATAAATATAAAAATTATCATGGAATAAAAGACAATTATATTCAAATTTGCATGTAATAACAAACATACCAATATACACGGAAGTTATAAAAATACTTATTAAAATGGGTAAAACAAACATACCGGGTATATACAATAATTAGAATGGAAATAATACATTCATACACCATGAAACATAACAGATATGTATACAATTTAGCGTTGAATAACACAAATTCATATACCTGTTAGCATGGGATTAAAAACATACATAAACTTATTAGAAAAGGCGTAGGATTAAAACATTCACAAAATAATTAGCATGGAATAACACACATTTAGTTGGGATTTGTATGGAAGAACATACAAACATATGCAAACAAAAATTTAATTTACAAACATACATACACAGATTAGCATGGAAATAGAGATGTATATTCCAATTATTTATTTATTAGCATGGAAATAACAACCATACATATTCAAAATACCAATGAAATATAAAACATAGAAACACCAATTAGCGTGGAAATAATATATTCATTAAAGAAAAGCATTATTAAACACACATAAATATGCCAATATGCATAGAGAAAAGACAAGCCTATGACTTAGCATTGAAAAACACACACATATTTACCAATTATAATGGAAATAATAAACATACTAACACATATTCATGGAGATAACGAACATGTATATACAAATTATTAGCATTGAAATAAACATACATATTAACATGGAAATAAACACACATACATTAAATAGCATGGAAATAACACAATACATATACTAATTTGCATTGTAATATATATATAAATATAATACAGCACATAAACTAGTTGGCATAGAAGAACAAACATTTATATATTAATTGACATGGAAAGAACACACACAACTATACTAAATGGCATGGAAATATCACATATATATACTTATTGGCATAAAAATAACAATAATTGTTATAATACTAATTGACATAGAAATAACAATTATGCATATACTATTTGGCATGGAAATAAAACTGTAAATAAACTAATTGGCATTGAAATATAAAACTTACATACACTAATTTGCATGGGAATAAATCACATACATATACTAATTTGCATTGTAATATAAACACAACACATAAACTAGTTGGCATAGAAGATCACATTTATATACTAATTGACATGGAAAAACACACAAAAATATACTAAATGGCATGGAAATATCACATATATATTATATACTTATTGGCATGAAAATAACACAAGAAATATTCAAATTAGCATGGAAATAAAACACATACAATATACTAATTATCTGGTAATAAAACACATACATATACTAATTTGCTTGGAAGTAGAAAATATACATTTCTAATTGGTATGGAAATAGAACACAAACATATAGTAATTGGCATGGGAATAATACACATTCATGTTCTAATTGGCATGTGAATAACACACATACATATAATAATTTGCATAGAAGAATAACAAACATACATTTACTAATGGACATGTACATAACACACATTGATAAACAAATTGGTATGGAAATAACACACATTCATAAAAAATAATATACTTATAGGCATGGTAATAACTCACATTCATATACTAATTGGCATTGAAATATAACATACATATGATAATTAGCTTGGAAATTAAAAAAAAATAATTGGCATAGAAACACATACATAAACTAATTTGCATGGAAATAATACAAGAACAAAAACTAATTGGAATTGACATAACACAAACATAAAATATTGACATGGAAATAACATACATTCATTCGCAGAGAAAAAAATCAAACATACATTATTCGCATAGAAAAAAAATCAAATACTTATTGGCATTTTTACACACATTTACTAATTGGCATGAGAATAACACATTTATATAGACTATTAGCAGGAAAATAACACATTTAATGAAACTAGTTATTATGGAAAAACACAAAAATATACTTAAAAGCATGAGTATAACAAAACATAAATATAAAATTTAGCATGGAAATAACCCACATACAAAGACTGATGAGCTTGGGAATAACACACATTCATATACTGGTACTATTTAACATGGAAATAGCCAACATTCATTTACTAATTGGCATGGGAATACAACACATTCTTTGTACTATTTTGCATAGAAATATAACACACATACATATGCTACTTGGCATGGAAATAACACTGATATACTAATTGGCATGGGAATACAACACATTCTTTATACTGATTGGCATGAAATTAAAATACAGTTATATAACTATTGGCATGGGAATAAAACCCATTCTTAGACTAATTGGCATGGAAATTTAACATACATATACTGATTGGCATGGAAATAACACACATACATATACTAAAGGACATTTAAATAACATACATTATTATACTAATTGGCATGGAAATACACATAAA